TAAAATGGTATGGTATGGTATGGTACGTGCCTTGCATTGGCTCCCTGTTTCTTATCGCATCAGGTTTAAGGTCATCCTGTTTGTGTTTAAGGCGTTAAACTCAGGGGCTCCTAAATATCTTTCTGAAATCATCCACCAACATGTCCCGGTGCGTTCCCTTAGGTCAGCTGACCAGAGATTACTAACTGTGCCTAGGTACAGCCTGAAGTCTCGTGGGAGTCGTGCCTTTTCAGTACTCTGGAATGAGCTGCCAGCTGATGTAAAACAGGCCAAGTCATTAGAAACCTTTAAAGGAAGACTAAAGACTCATCTGTTCTCGCTGGCGTTTGGACTTTGAAGTTGGGGGAAGTAGGCCGGATATTGGACTGTGAACTTGCACTCAGGATTTCTTATTGTATTTTAAACGGATTTCTTATTGTATTTTAATGGTCATATGTCTGTCCTATTGTGGTGCTTTCTATTGGTGTACAGCGCTTTGTTTGTCCCTTTTGGCCATGTGAAAGCGCTCTATAAATAAAGTTGATTTGATTTGATTCATCACCAGTAGTGTGTGTGAATGGATGAATGATGCACTGTAGTGTAAAGCGCTTTGGAGTCCTCGGACTCTAAAAGGCGCTACACAAGTGCGGGTCATTTATCATTTATTTACAAAAGTTATTTGTTAGCTAGCTTACGAACGTTCGCTTACGTTCTCCCTGCTGCTGTTCACCGATGTAAACAAGTTGCAGACTTTGCCAGAATTCACCCCGCTATAAACAGCATTTGCTTTACTTTGGAGCTAATTTTAAAAAAAAAAAACTTAAAAAAGTTCTGAAGTTTTTGTTGCTGGTGGGGTCACAGAGTTAAGGTGCTAGTCTCACACAGAGGCGACACAAGATTCTTAGTCACAGTGTCGGTACAAGATTGGCTCGGGGTCCTTCGACTGCCGATGATGTCTTTCACACATACGTTTTGGAAAGACATCAGCAGTTTTGTTAATAAATTCTTGTTAACACCTAAATGTTTTCTTTATAATAGTAATTTGTTAATAAAACACCATATCATGTTTGTTTGTAAAGAATGTGAAACTGCATAAAACCAACATCGGACTGACAAAAATAGAACTGTTCTTATATGTGAAGCCATATCTGTTTGTATCAATGTGGAGTTCGTCTGTATATTTCCTTAGTTGTTATCTAAATACATTCTTTTACTCTAAATATTGCTTGGTGTCTTTCAATAAAGTTCTTATATTTTATTTTGCCCCATTTCATCAACATCAAGAGCTTTTGAGGGTCACCGTTTATCATTTGCTTATGTTTTACATTTTCTTTAGAAATTCAAACATTTTCTTCAAAAAGTGTTGATTTTTGGACTACAGGACTACAACCGCTAAGACTACGACCACTAATTTGTTCTGACCAATCAAAATCATAACGTGATAACGTAATTTCCTTAAGCTTCATGTTCAGCCAATCAACTACTTTGACGTCATCAGCAGTCGAAGGACCCCGAGCCAATCCTGCACCCGAGAAGATCTTGTACCGCCACCGGCACTCATCATGCTAAATAAGTAATGTAATTTTAATACACGTAATCCTACATCAGAACAATATTAGCATAGTAAATAATTGTCTTGCAACTCACTATTTTGGACAGTAATGCACATCCTCCATGGTGAAGTACAGGATTATAAATACTAAATAAATCCAATCCAATCCAATTTTATTTATAAAGCGCATTCACAAGGCATTACAACCAAACAAGGCGCTGTACACTAAAAATGTTAGTTAATCAAACCGGCGGTATACAAACATGTCGAACACAGATAAAAGATGAAAAGAAAATACAACAAAATTCCCAAAAACTAACAGCTAAAAATCAATAAGACACAGGGAGAATAAAAATTTGAAAAACATTTTAAAAAAGAACCTCAATAGTATGGAAGTTGATATTGTAAAGTCCATTTTTTAAACAAAGCAGATGTAAGTGATGGTCATAATTATGTTATATAAGCTAGGTTGAAGTAGTGTGTTTTCAAGTGTGATTTAAAAATGCTAGCTGTTGGTGCTTGCCTCACTAGCAGTGGTAATGCGTTCCACAGCTTCGGTGCACAGACAGAGAAAGCCCTTTCTCCACGGCTTTTTAAACGTGCATTCGGAACAGCTAGGAGGAGCTTACCTTCAGACCTGAGAGCACGCGGCGGGTTGTAGTAATGGACAAGTTCACACAGATATGGAGGAGCTTGATGGTTCAAGGATTTGTAAGTGAGAAGCATAATTTTGAAGTTTATCCTGAACTGCACAGGCAACCAGTGGAGCGATTTCAGAATTGGAGAAATGTGTTGTCTTCTGTCAGCTCCAGTCAGCAACCTAGCTGCTGAATTCTGGACCAGCTGAAGTCTAGAAAGAGCTGCTTTACTGATGCCGTATAAGCAGGAGTTGGAGTAATCCAGCCTTGAAGTGATGAAAGTGTGGACCACAGATTTCAGAAGACGGACACTCAGGATGTGCTTTAGTTTCGAGATGTGTCTTAGTTGGAAAAAACATGATTTAACTGTGTCATTGACCTGGGCATCCATCTTCAGAGCCTGGTCCATTTTTACTCCAAGGTTGGAGATTACAGAGGATACATTAGGTGAGAGATAGTTGAGGTCAGGTTGATGAGTCGCCGTGGTACTGTTAGGACTGAAAACGATTAAGTCAGTTTTGGAGTTATTAAGATGGAGGAAGTTATCAGCAAGCCATAGCTTGACCTCAAGGATACAATCAGACAGAACTTTCGTTGATTGAGTTGGCTTAAATGAAAAGTAGATTTGACAGTCGTCAGCGTAAAGATGGTATGAGACAGCGTGCTTTCTGAAAATGGCTCCTAAGGGCAGTATATAGAGGTTGAACAGTAACGGGCCGAGAATTGAACCTTGTGGGACACCCCAACGTAGAGGCTGTGACTCGGATGAACAGCCATCCAACATGACCCTAGCAGACCTGTTACAAAAGTATGACCTGAACCAATCTAGGGCTGTGCCTGAAATGCCAGCCCAAGTGTGAAGTCTTGTGATCAAAATGTCATGATCGATCGTGTCGAATGCTGCGGATAGATCCAAAAGTACCATAACCACATGGAAACCCGAATCTAAAGCCAGAAAAATGTCATTAAACACCCGAACGTGAGCAGTTTCAGTGCTGTGCTGTTGTCTAAACCAGACTGACAGGTGTCCATTACCTGAAATTCATTTAGATGTTTCACCAACTGTGCATAGACTATTTTCTCAAGAACCTTAGATAAAAATGGTAATTTGGAAATTGGTCGGAGATTAGAGTAATCGTTGGGATCAAGGCCGGGTTTTTTCAAGATTGGCTGTAGAACAGCGTGTTTAAAGGCACGAGGAACTTCAGCCAATGTCAAGCTACTATTTATAATGCCTAGCACGCTATTGCTAATTAAAGGAAACACCTCTTTCAGGAGTCGAGGCGGGATAACATCATCTGGGGAGCCAGAGGGTTTCATGGCTGCAACAGTTTTTTCTAGATAGGGCAAAGAGATGGGCTGAAAGCTTTGAAGTTGCACATGAGAGGGGGTAAATGAATCAGGAGCATGGTTGGTTTGGTGAATCTGAGCTCTGATTACAGTAATCTTATTTAAGAAAAACTGCAGGATTTGGCTACACAAGTCATTGGACACAGAGGAAAATAGTTTTTGAACTGGGGAAAGCACTGCATTTATGGTTTTATATAACACACCTTGATTATTTGAATTAGCCGTGACAATGCTAGCAAAGAATCGATTTCTCGCGCCTCTGACTACTCTTTGGTACTGAGACCAAGCCTCTCTCATCGCCTCAAAGGATACAGTAAGCCTGTCTTTTATCCATTTACGTTCCAGTCTCCTGCAATTTTGCCTCAAGGAACGAGTTTGTTCGTTCAGCCATGGGTCGGGCTTGGATTTCTTTCGACGTGATTTTAATGGAGCGACAATATCCATAGCAGCCAGGCAGGATGACTCAAGCACACGAAGTGATCCCTCAACTACAGAAGATGAATCAGTAGAATCATATGGAGCTGAATCCAGAGTAAGAACAGCGGCAAAATCTGCAGCAGTATTGGGTCTGATTATGCGAGAGAAGCTGGGACGGAAATATTCAATACGAGGGGCATTTTCTAATTTCAAATAATATAAACACATCATGTTTATCATTTCAGGTCCATCACAGTCAGTCCTGTCTTCCTCATGAACTGTGTGAATGTTAATGTTACCCAGTGAAACGTGTTTGCTACAAATCTGAAAATACTTTAAAAAAGACAAGTTGAGTTTACATCCTTGTCTGTTGTCAGCTAACTTACCATTGTGCTGAATAAATGCAGTAAAAAAAAACACAAACTGGCTTGTTAAGACTAGCTTCAATACAGTTTTAACATGTGTAAACAGTTTTTCTGCCATAAGCCAGGCTAAAGGGACTGTCCCATAAGTGCTGTGACATCACATGCAAAGGGTCTGTGGTTGGCTCACGATTTATTTTCTAATTTCTTTTGCCCTGAACCACACACGTGTTGTACTTCAGTTTAAATTGTGTGTGTTACGACTGTCACATACTTTGAGATTTGTTAGGTTTTAAAATTTTGTTATTAAAATGACTACAAATCAGATGTGGCATGTTTGATGTCACTGCAGAAAGTCCTCTCCCCAGTGTAGCTGCTGCGTACCCAATGGCCAGATTGATGGTGTTTCTTTCATCCTGAATGAAGGATTTGAAGCTCGTTAAACTCGCAGCCTTTCTTTTCCTCCTCTTCGTGTCTGGCTCAATGACATCAATTTGGTGAGACGCGTATTTGTAGTCCGCTACGTCATGTCACACGCAACCTAAAATAACTTTTGCCGCCTTTTGAAAATAAGAGCTTTCTTGGCATCAAAATGTGTCTTTAAAAGTCACGGACGTCATATGTGAAATGCGTGGAACAAATCAAACGAGAGTAGAAAATACCTTTTAACCTTCCCTGTTCATATCTCTTTTTTTTTCCCAGGAGGTCTTCCCCATCCATTACGGCCAACAATATGAAGCCACGTTACAATCACTAGTGTGGAAATTCATCTCCAGACTGGACAGCCTGCTGCCCATCCCTGACATAAAACAGGTGGATCAATTAAGTAGTTGTAATTTTCATTTTATTGAAAAAGGTGACTGTATGCTATTGTTACTAAATAGCATTTTTCTTTTTGCTTTTTTGACACCATAACATGATTTGCAGACAGCTGAGTGGCTCAGCAGCACCCCCTCTGTCTTGGAAGAATGTGGACAACTGGTTTTAGGGCGGGAACATCTAAAGGAGCTGTTGGACTTCCACCAGAAACAAGCTAAACACAAGTGTAATGCAAAACATTTTTCAGTGACTTTAAATAATATAAATAAAATATAATAATAAATAATGTAGCATATTCTACACACTAGAATCAACACTGTTTGCTATCAGTTGTAGATTCTGAGAATGACCAAGCACATTAGCATATGAGCCTATATCATGTATAAATATCCAAGATACTTATATAATCGATAGAAGTTCATACACCAACCTGTTTGGTCTATATTTAATCCAAAGATTGATGTTTAATTTAAAATAATTAAATTTAATAGCAAAAGTTTTTTTTGAATCAGAAGTTAGGAATCTTTGCTTTTTCAATAACCAGAAATATTTATACCGTTCTGTGTTTCATTTCAAAGATTAGGCAGAGTTTAAAAATTGAAGAATTTATTACTAACAATTTTAAACTTGACAATTTGAAACGACAATTTAAATGATAATTTAAATTGACAATTCATGGATGACAATTTACCAGCTTTGATATTAAAACTTGTTTTAAAGGCAAACATGTGACTGAATGAAAAGCTAAAATGAAATGAGAGTTTTGGATGCGTGAATGAATTCTCAGAAGGTTTCTTTCAGAGAGAGAAGCGCATTCTGGGTTGGAAATTATGGTTTTGCAGCTAACTGTTGTTACTTAGAGAAACAGCATCAGACACAATCTGTGTGCTACCTCACCCAGCAAGACGACCCTCTGTGTAGATCCGGAGATCAAAGAGGATGTTGTCAACCTCAGGGTACTCGGTCCGGTAGAGAAGACGCGAGTGAAACCGATCCTCTGGTCCAGAGATGTTGCAGGGTACACAGTGTCGAGCGTTTGGCTTAACTCTGAAGGAATTTTGCGTCTTACTTAACTCAAAATCAATAACTATGAAGGAGTTTTGCGTCAGCTGGTTATCGTGAGTTTATTCAAAGCTATTCTATCAGCATGGCAGAACAGCAGGTGGAGGCTTCAGGGTGGCCGTTCCCTTATCCTCAGTGATGGTGGTTGGTTCACGAACTCAGGTTTTGCTGCTGGAAAGTTAGTTTTAACAAACCCCTCAGAACACGCCCTCTCTCAGCAAGAAAGCTTTGGTCATGAGTCAAAGACATGTGATGGCAGATCACCTTTACTCTGGATAAGCTCTGTGTTGGATGGATAAAGTGGAAGTTGACCTTCTGGTTTACTGAACACACATAACCGATTATCAGCCATAATCATAATTATACCCAAAGCATAATAATTCATTTCAGTAATTAAAAATGCATTTATACTGAACCAAGAGATTATTTATGATGATTATAATAAACAGTAATCAAGTCAAAGAGTTTATTAAAATTATTATTTAAATTATCATTGTGAAACTTGAAGTGTCCTTCTTCTGGGACGGAACAGCAGTAGATAAAGGATGATATTCTGCAGCCATCATGACTCCTGGATTAATCTGTGGAACCAAAAGTTACAGTCAGACCCAGCTTGACCTAGCTGGGAAAATGTGACCTTTGTCACAAATTAGAGGACCTTTGTGACGCTACAACAATTATTTCTAAATATTCACAAAACGAAGTTACATCAATACCTCTGAAGCACTGTTGTTTTGTGCAGCCTTCTTAGTTTTAGTTGATAAAGATTTTGGTTTTTAATTTTACATAAATTTTGTCATTAAAGGTGTGGAACACCGAAAAACCACTTTTTAAATCTGATTTCAGATGATAATTGGTCACTTTTGAGTTTTTCACGCAGGTTGAAGATGAAAATAGTCTCCTACACCTATCTCCTGCATTAGCTGCTGATACCCTAGGATTTGAAAATCTTGACACATCTACATCACACTGTCACATAACATTCATTTACTCACCCATCTTGATTCACAACAGGGAAGGTCTGTTGTTAGTTTAGCATCCAGGAAACCGCAGAGAACGTCTTGGCTAGTAGAAGCTAACCATTAGCATTAGCAACTCCACCACACAGACTTGTTTTTTGTGAAGATAAAACATCCAGGTGGCTACAAAAACGGAGTCGGTGGTAGTTGTGTTGCTGTTAGCCAATCTGAAGCGAGATGTCCAAATATCAGGAAATAAGACTCCAAATCCTGTCGCCTGAAGCTACTTTTCTTCATCAACTTAGTCTTAACATCTTGGTCTGATGTTTATCTTTTTTCTTTGTCACAGGTTTCTCTCAAACTCAGAATATGTTTTTGCCCTTTCTGTCCCTGCATCCCAAACCCAGTTCAAACCAGGAAGAGTCTCCAATCAGTGATGAAGAGGGGTTTGATTTAGATAAAGAATCATCTGAGGAAAACCAGACTGAACCAGTTGTGGACGATTCAGGGAGAAGGGATGATGGAAAAAATCAACAAAGTGAAGGTATGAAAACTGCTAATTTCCCTACAAATCTGTGTTCACAAAGATATTTGCTGTACTAATTTAAATTATTTCACATATTGGGGGGGACGAGACAAAATAACCAAAAATAAAAATGTTTGTCATTTCTGTTTCTTTCAGGTTCTGGTCCATCTACGCTCCATTACTGCTCTAAATGCTCCTACACTGTTGGCAAAGTGTCAGATCTTCTTCAGCACATCAGACGGACACATCTGATCCAGAAACCTGGTAACATCTTTAGGAATTATATCACTCTGATGAGGGGAACAACAATGATGAGGGGAACAACAATCCCTGGACTGAAAATCAGCAAATTTTCAAAGGAAGACGCGTCCTCTAACAGCAAAGGTCCTCCATATCAGTGTGATAAGTGCGACAAGAAGTATCCCTCTAAATGGTACCTGACTATCCACTACCGGAGTCACACCGGTGAGATGCCATTTTTGTGCTCCACCTGCGGAAAAGGCTTCAAGTCTTTAAATGCTCTAAATTCACACTCACGCACACACACGGGGGATTGGCGCTATAAATGTGACATATGTGGAAAGACCTCCATCCAGCAAATGGCAAGACACATGCGCATGCACCGAGGGGAGAAGAACTATCTGTGTTCAGAGTGTGGGAAGGCTTTCCTCTCCTCCGGGGAGTTGAGGCTGCACATGCGCTCCCACACCGGCGAGAGGCCTTACAAGTGTAAACAATGTGGGAAAGGTTTCATCGCAAAGTGTCATCTGACCCGTCACACTCGCCAACACACCGGAGAGAAGCCTTACAGGTGCTCGCTTTGTCCCAAGACTTTCTACAGTTTGAGAGACAAGAAGAGACACCTGATGATCCACACACACAAGAAGTCTTTTCAGTGCTTGACGTGCGGTAGAATCTTCAGGCAGGAGGACACTTTTAAACTGCATGTTGAAACTCACCAATTAACGTGATTGTTTTATAAAAACTTTGACCACATAGTCAGATTTTAACAATCTGCATAAGTGGATTACTGTGACAGACGTTATCAGCATGTTGATATTATTTCAAACCGCTACCTTTTGCCTGCGGATGGACTGTCCAATCTCGGGGGCAGAAGTTGCTGAGGTAGTCAAACAACTACACAGCGGCGGAGCCCCAGGGGCAGATGAGATTCGTCCTGGGTATCTCAAGGCTAAGGATGTTGTAGGGCTGTCGTGGTTGACACGTCTCTGCAACATTGCGTGGTCATCGGGGGCAGTTCCTGTGGAGTGGCAGACCGAAGTGGTGGTCCCCATCTTTAAGAAGGGTGACCTGAGGGTGTGTTCCAACTATAGGGGGATTACACTCCTCAGCCTCCCTGGAAAGGTCTACTCCAAGGTCCTGGAAAGGAGGATCTGAGCAATAGTTGAATCTCAGATTGAGGAGGAGCAATGTGGTTTTCGTCCTGGCCGTGGAACTGTGGACCAGCTCTATACCCTTGCAAGGGTGATGGAGGGGGCATGGGAGTTTGCCCAACCAATCCACTTGTGTTTTGTGGATTTGGAGAAGGCTTATGACCGTGTCCCCAGGGGCACCCTGTGGGGGACGCTCCAGGAGTATGGGGTGGGTGGCTTTTTGCTAAGGGACATTCAGTCTCTTTACCAGAGGAGCGTGAGTTTGGTCCGCATAGCCGGTAGTAAGTCGGACCTGTTCCCGGTGAGGGTTGGACTCCGCCAGGGCTGCCCTTTGTCACCGGTTCTGTTCATTACCTTTATGGTCAGAATTTCTAGGCGCAGCCGTGGTGTGGAGTGTGTCGAGTTTGGTGGCAGGAGAATCTCGTCTGTGCCTTTTGCGGATGATGTGGTCCTCCTAGCTTCATCCAGCTCTGACCTTCAGCTCTTGCTGGGTAGGTTCGCGGCCGAGTGTGAAGCGGCTGGGATGAAGATCATCACCTCCAAATCTGAGACCATGGTTCTCGACCGGAAAAGGGTGGCTTGCCAACTCCGGGTCGGGGGAGAGGTCCTACCTCAAGTGGAGGAGTTTAAGTATCTTGGGGTCTTGTTCACGAGTGAGGGTAGGAGGGATCGGGAGATCGACAGGCGGATTGGTTCGGCGTCTGCAGTGATGCGGACGCTGAGCTGATCTGTCGTGGTGAAGAGGGAGCTGAGCCAGAAAGCCAGGCTCTCGATTTACCGGTCGATCTACGTCCCAATCCTCACCTATGATCATGAGCTTTGGGTAATGACCGAAAGAACGAGATCGCGGATACAAGCGGCCGAGATGAGTTTCCTCCGTAGGGTGGCCGGGCTCAGCCTTAGAGATAGGGTGAGGAGCTCGGACATTCGAGAGGGACTCAGAGTAGAACCGCTGCTCCTCCAGATTGAAAGGAGTCAGTTGAGGTGGTTTGGGCATCTGGTCAGGATGCCTCCTGGACGCCTCCCCGGGGAGGTGTTTCATGCATGTCCTGCCGGCAGGAGGTCCCCGGGTCGACCCAGGACACGTTGGAGAGGTTACATCTCCAATCTGGTCCGGGAACGCCTTGGGGTCCTGCCGGAGTTGCTGGTGGAGGTGGCAGGGGAGAGGACGGTCTGGAGCTCCCTAGTTGGGATGCTGCCCCCGCGACCCGGATAAGCGGAGGAAGACGATGACCTTTTGCAGAATAGCCATGCTTTAATAACAGCACTATTCCAAAATGTGTAATTTTTTGCCCTTTTTTCAAGCATAAAGTGACTTGTCAATAAAGAAAGAATGGCCTTGGTTGTGAAGTTGTTGCTTTCTGAACTGTATTGTAATCTATGGAGGAAGATAGGGGCCACTGAATAGAAAAAAAGAAAAGGAGAATTTTGACCCTTTTTTTTCCAGAATTTGTACTTTTTTTTTCTTCAGAATTCTGAGGGAAAAAAGTTAGACATCTCTTGGATTAGGTCCAGTGAAAAAAAAGAGAATTAAAGTCAGAATTCTAAGAAAAAATGTCAGAATTAGAATTCTGAGAACAAAAATTCAGAAATCTTTCATTTTTCTTTTGAGTGGCTCTAATCCAAAAGAAAGAGAATTCTGACTTTAAACTGATAAAAAAAATCCTCAGAATTATGACTTTTCAGATGAGACTTTTTCTGCAGAATTCTGCCTTGAATCTCAGATTATTTTTCCCCCACAGATTTCTGACATTATTCTTGGATTATCCCCCCCCCCCCCAATTCTGATTTTAATCTCAGATTAGACTTTTCCCCCTCAGATTTCAGATTTTAATCATTCTAAGAAAGAAAAAAAGAAAAGAAAGGAAAATAGTCCGAATTTTCAGTGGCCCTAATCTTCCTTAGAAACTGTGGCCAATATTTTTAAGAATAAAAAGAAGTTGGGGCCATTTGTAATTTCTCACTCATAATGGGACATCAATTCCTTTACTGCTTTCTGTCTCAGAAAGACAAACCTGCATCATGCTTTTGTTTGCCGTACCTCAAACTGTCAGTTTTCTTCTCCAACACACCCGATTTAAATGAATGCTGTCCCTAAACTGCAGCTGAAATTAGTTCCATGCAGAGAATCACTCGCCACTCGTCTGACCCCCATGACCTCATCAGGACACCCCCCCCCCCCCCCCCCCCCCCGGACCGAACCCAACAGAGCCAAGGACTCTGACTCAAGACAGTCAACCCACAGTGAGTGTTTGCTCCTGTTGACTCCTATATGACTGTGGGATTGTTGTGAAGGATTAGTCATGCAGGTCAAACGCTGAAATGACCCCACTCACAGCTGTACGAGTAGATATAGGACAAGTAGAACGGTGCAGACTGGAAAGTATGGTCGGAATGCACCTAATTGTAATGAGCTAAGGCAGTTAGAGATGCTATAAGCATATAAATGAGTCCATAATAGCACATTTTTGAACAAAGAGGGCCTTATTATAAAATGAGCAAAAACACCAAGATTAAATTACTTAAGTATTTTTTTTAAACTTGGGTTTATCGATTTGTGGCTCCTCCCTGAAGACCCGACAGCTAAAAGTCGCACATTTCTAAACATTCTTGCATAGTTTTTTATGTAGGCTTTCTTTTTTTTTAGCCTTACGTTGGAGATTTTGAGCAGCTGAAACTAAGATTTGCAGGTATGTAAAATGCTGTCAGATGTTACAATTAATGAAACGCTTAGAAAGTAAATGCATAGAACCTTCCAGAGTAACGTTAAACAGGTGCAGTACATAAGAATATAGTGGGAATCTTACAGTGAGAAAATTCCAAGTCTAATGTTTCAGTCATTTTAGAAGGAAGGTTATTTCATATCCAGCTGGCTGCTGGAATGTCAGTTTTTCTCCTTTCAAAATAAAGGAAGGAGAGATGTAACTACTGTTTACTATCAGTGAGTGTGGGGTTGCCATGTCTTCTGCGAGTTAATACTGCAGCACCGACGACTGTAATTTGATGACAGTCGGCAAAAAGCTCCAGTTGTTTAAGGTGGTTGCAGTAACCAAATTTTACCACAAGGTGTAATTTTTACTTTATGTCTACATAATGCACCTTTACAAATGTGCTTTGGTTGGATGAATGAAACGCTACACCTGAAAAAGGAAATTATGTAGAATCAGTATTACAGTAGTTTTATTTCCTAATTATCCAGTAATTACAATGTTCACAAAAACTTTCTACAATCAGCTTTTATTTTGTAATTAAAACAAAATGTGATGATCAAATCTACAAAATGATGGGTACAAAAAATTTTTATTCCCAGAGATCAATGTCTTTTTAATCAATGTCTGTGTTATAGAAGCGTAACTCAAGAGTCTGGGAAACACTGTGGTCCTCATTCTCATCGGCAAAGGAGGATTTCTGTAGAAACCTCATCTGGAAGTTTTCCCATTTTCGTGAATGTCCATCCTGTAAACCGCAAAAATCAGGTCAATCGTATCACATCTGAATAAAATTTAGTAAAAGAAATATCAGCAGTAAACTTATCAAATGTGAGCTTTATCACCTTTTACACGTTCCTGTATTTGTACGTGAGGTAGATTTAGTGGGAATAAAGAAGAATGATTTACCCGCTCTCATCTTTGAGGTGCTGGTACAACTCGAACTTGCTGTTCACAGAACTCGCTCTGCCGAAAAACTCCTGGTGCTTCCTGGAATTGGCGGCAATGATCCGACTGGTCCACATGCTGAGGAGCGTGACGGGACCTGCACAGGGAGGAACACAATTAATTATTTTTTATGAAACCCTCTTGTCCTGAAATACTAACTTTTTGAAAGGTAATATTCTGTAGACTAAACAGAAACTCAACAACTGATGTCCACTATAAACTCAAGACATTAAAACAAGGTGAAACTGCTTGATGTGCTGGAACCTTTTGCTCGTTCTGGGGGCGGAGCCTCTTCTGTAATCAGGCGGGGCTTCTTGTTGAGCGGTTCAGGAGAGTCCGGGGAATCCTTGATCACCTCCGTCTCTGGATTGTCCTTCTCCAACAAACCTTTGAGCCTTCAGCAGAAAACAGATTTAGTTTAGAACTTCTTCTCATGTTGGATCCATCGTGGAAGGAGGAACCATTCAAATTACGTCCAAATGAACCTGACTGACTTCTCGGATTCCTGCCAGCTTTTGTCTTCGGTCTCTTTGCTGCCATTTTTCTCCATCCTGTCCTCCCTGTCCTCTCTCTTCCTTCCCCTCTTTTTCCTCTCCTCCTCCTCTGGGGGTTTGCTGCGGCAGGCGATGATGCAGTCCAGAACTCGCTGGTGTCGGTCGGTGGCGGCAGCGTGCGTTTTCACCAACGTTTCCAGCTCGTTCCACATGATGCGATACTGTTCGTCCCTGGAGATCACACCGATGCAAATCCATCACCAACCCGTCTCTGCAGATGAATAACAGGCGGAAGATGTGGCGTTTACCTCTTGGGGCCTTTGCCTCTGGATCCCACAGTAGAAATGGGCAGCGGGTCGTTCTTCCTCTCCATGTCGACCAGGTTGTAGATTGTTTTCTGGCAGGTTAGAACGTCCTCCTCGGTGAGGGTCTCTTTCACTATCAGGTTAGCCAGAGGGACCACCTGTTAAAGGAAAACGAGAGGACATGGATGCAGAAATGCCTCTGGACACAAACCTGACGTGGAATTATGAAATTGTTGGTTAATGTGTATAAAACTGAAGACAGAGTAGAGCTAGACGACGCTCACTGCCTGCATGTTGAAGATGGTGGTCTGAGAGATGATCATCGGCCAGTATCTGGTGTGACGTTCTAGCTGAGCTTTCGCCCTTTCAATCTGTAGCTTCCCAGAAGGATTATGGGATGCCTCTGAAACTGGAGTCAGCCGGTTCTCCCTCATAAATTCGCCAAAATCCTGAGAAAGAAAAAAGGATGAGGCTAGTGCAGCTGACGGTCGAAACAGAGCTGCTGCGAGTCAAGCCTACGGTGATCCTGTAGTCCGTCACTCGGCCGCCACAGCCCTCGCTGATGGAGGGCGGGTCCTCTAGGGTGGAGCGGTTACTGTTCAGCACATGCAGAAAGATCTCTCCTCCGTGGCTGCTCAGCATGTGGCTGATGACCTTTGACCCAGACTTTCTTGGCTGCTCCAGCAGTACTGATCGACCTGCGGTTAAAATGAAAACAAATCAAGAGCAATGATTTTACACAGATGGTGAAAAGGAGAAGAACAAATTAATAAATGTACAGAATCATGATTTTAGAAAATAAATAAAACGCAGCTTACCGTTGAGGAGAAAATTAGTCAAACAGGATGAGGGACGACTGTTTACGTCTGTGGGGGAGATGCGATAAGCTCCTGTGCAGTAATGCAACTCTGCAATGAGCAGGGTGAGAAAACACATCAATATTTAAAGCATCATCTTAGGTGTGTTCTTGCTGTGCGTTATTTCTAATTCCATGTTGTCATTCTTTTTTAAAACACAGAAACGGTTTTGTTACCTGTTATTGACGCTACAGTTTCGCCGACCGCTGCCGGCTTCTTCAGGCTGACGCTGATGGTGGCGCGTCACTTCCTTCTCCGTTTACCTGCGGGCAGCAGAGGACGTTGTTGCCCTCTACAGCCCGCTCTCCCCTCTCCGACGATGCAGTCCCATGCGTGGTCCAGTATGTAAACATTAGGACGACGGAGTTTACACGCTGGACCACGCATGGGACTGCATCGTCGGAGAGGGGAGAGCGGGCTGTAGAGGGCAACAACGTCCTCTGCTGCCCGCAGGTAAACGGAGAAGGAAGTGACGCGCCACCATCAGCGTCAGCCTGAAGAAGCCGGCAGCCGTCGGCGAAACTGTAGCGTCAATAACAGGTAACAAAACCGTTTCTGTGTTTTAAAAAAGAACAACAACATGGAATGTAAAGCATCATATTTACAAAATAACCTATTTGTGTTAAGCAGGAAGAAGCTGTAAAGGTGCCTCCTTTAGCGTGCCTACCTATGCTGTTGGTTCGAGGGGTGCACCACTTCAGTGTGATGGTCTCTTTAAGTCCATTTTCACGAGTGCTGGTTCCTGCCATATGCAGGTCCCCTACAACACAAACACACCTCACCTTTATTAACACATTTAAACACTACCGGCTTAAATGAAGGAACTGATTTGAAACTAATTTCATTTTGAATTTTACAAATGCATCGTTGATGATGCATGCGGGATGGACGTGTAACGAACACAAAGACTCACCACTTTTAAAGAACTCCAGGTGGGCGTCTCTGTGATGAAGGAGCTCAACGTCGTAGTTAGCAGACGTGTTGGCGTGCTGCTCCTCCTGTCCACCCGCACCGATAATCACAAAGACGCATTAGCACAAATCCACATCAGTCATTCAGCAAATATGCAGAAACAAACAATAAAACTGCTGATTTCATGTTCCAAAGAAGAAATGTTGATGTGCAAAATTAAATAAAAATAACTCCACAGATATTCTGTGTTCCGGCATGATCCCATATTCATGAAAATGTTTCCTATCTGTGATTTATGTACGACCGGAGATTTATCATAGAATCTTAAAGCTGAGTTAAGTTGAAACATTTAAGGAACAAAGACAAACCCATCAAGACGACACAAAGGACCACAAGGATGCAATAAATGGAAAGTTTTGTTGTCATGACAGAACATGAAAGAGGAGGAACAGAAACCACGGGAGGTTTTTAGGGCATCTTTTAAGGTAAACAAACTGAAATGACAGATGAGGCAACACTGGTCACACACGATTTTTTATTTTTTTTCTGCTTTTGAATTTTGTAATAAAAACCAATTACTGTTTTTTTTTTACTTGAAAAGAAACAAGCCAACATTTTTAGACCAACGTTGCCTGCTCTCTACTCGAACTCCAGCAGCAAATCTGTCAAGTCACATCAAAATATCTTAACGACAGTGTTTTCAACAGCCGAGCTACATGCTGAAAACTCGTCCCCTGTTTGATGTGTGTGTGGATAGGAGTACTAACCTGTTCGCAAACATTTAATGTGGGCTAGCAAAACAGAAAATACAGCATGAAACCAGCAGCACGTCCACAGTCATATAAACATGCAGGTGAAACAAAAAGATGAGGCTGAAGAGTTTTTTGTGTTTTAACAAGAAACAACTGATGATAAGCAAGCAAAAGAAAGTACAAATGCTTGAAAAGGTAACAAGTGTTAGCAGTCTAAAAACCAAACATGAAGGTGTGCAGAAATCTTAACTAGCAGCAGGCAAAAAGATGTAATGTGCAAAAAACCAGACAAAAGGCCAGAGGAGGCGCCATTTACCTTCATGGGGATGTTTGTTATGGTGGTGGAGGCCAAGTCAAAGTGCTGCTGGACCAAAATGTTGAGTTTGGACGCCAGGTGCCTCCCAGCACGCACACTGTGAACCTCACTGGTGAGCAGAGGAGAGATCTGGGACAGCAACAGTGATTTAGTTAGAACAAAGTAGCCGTGTCATGATGCTGTTAGATGTGTTGGTTTCTGAGCTTATCACCTCTTTCTTTGGCCGATCAGACACCAGAGTGTCCTCACCCTGTGGGTAGATGTGAACTAACACTAGATCACATTGCTGAACAGCCATCAGCCTAAAGCACAAAACAGTTAATCAGAAATAATAACAAACAAGTTACATTTTAGGGTCCAGACTTTACTAAAATGTGTGTTTGCATGCAGAGTACAGACCTATCTGAACCTGCCGCAAGCTTGTTTTGTTCTAAAATAGTTTCCTGGATGCAGTCCTCCAACATGCGCACGTGTGTGTCACTATGAGTGCAACACAAAAGAGGTGAGATGTAGTTTTATTTGATAATAAACACACATAAAAAAGACAGAAGAAAACACATGGGTGTCATAAATAAATCAAAAACAACTAAATCCATTGTAAACAATATAAACTCCAATCCAAGAAAAACACACAGACAAGTTCAATTTATTTTTTTAAGACATTTTTATCAGTGTTTTGACTTGTTTTGTGTCACTCTGGCCACTTTCTATCACATCTGGTTCCTCTGGAATGTTTTGCCACTGCTTTTCTTTGTTTTTAATCTTTCATATTTTGTGACTTAACCATCTTATAAGACAGCAGAGTTGTACTTAGTCCTAATTTTGGTATTTTTGTATTTACTTGAACATCTAATCACTTAGTGGTTTAGCATAATTTGATAACCAATCTGTCTCGCTGAGGAAATGCTGTGTTCCATTTGTCAAACATGAAATTTTGTCTTTGCACATGTAGGGGTGCACATGAAGGCAGATTATTACAACAAACAGCCTTATATTTCATACCACCTCAAATGATTCCTGTCATTTACCTTTTTGCATTGGTCAAGCAGATGATTCGACCTCTATTGGCAACTCTCTCTGCTGTGTCCATTAAAGCAGTGCGCTTCTCGCGCTGCAGCTCTGTGATTTTGCATAAAGACTCCACTGCAGCAACTAACCCATGCAGGATACTGCAACACTCTGGATCTTCACGTGGATTTGGTGGCCCGACAGCAGCTAAAGTTGCCATGAGCTGAAATCAGGGACATTAATTCAACAAAATGTTATTCTGATTAAATGTCACATTCAACTAGTTTAGTACGTCTCAAAAGTGCGTTACCTCATGGGTGGTCTGATCTTCTCGCCTCCAGCTGTTCAGTATGTGGAATTCTGAATCACTGACAATGTAATTAATCTGTGAATTGCAGAAAACATCAGTGGCATTGTTCATATCGCTAATGTGTTCATTAAAGCTAATAAAACTTTGAATTCTATCTCATGCATTAAGATCTTCCCTGTAGTTTAAATGTTTTTTCATACAATGTCCACGAATCTCAACAAAGCTAAATGTGATATGTTGAGGCTGCAAAATTAAATACAAAAACAATGATTTAAATAAAACTAACCAGTTTATCCTTTGGGTAAACATCATAGAGGATCCGGCAATATTCCATTGAGCATTCTACGGCACAAGTCCAAAGAGATTTGGACACAGGTGCCAAAGGAATGACCCCCTGAGCTCGGCTCTTTGTCAAAACGTCACACTCCACCTGCTGGCGACTGGACTCCGCCATGTAGGGACAGTGATCCACTACAAATACGGTCTTGTGAGCCACTGAGAACATCTTCATTTTGCAAATCTACAGTGTGAGCTTAACCTGTAAACAAAATAAAAACACAGGAACGCTTTCACATCTCAACGATAAATAAATCAACTTGATCTGGACAATTTAAACATTTATAACATTTTATCTGACAATTCCCAGTACTTAAGGGATCACTTGTTCACAACCTGAAACATTACAGATATTACAGAAAGCACAGAAGAGCTGTCACATTGTCGGGGAAAATACTTGGATAGCTCATTTGACCCAAATGTTAGCTCGTAATCTGTGAATTGCATGTTGATCAGTGAATGTTAACTCACCTCGTCGAACTGAAAACTGAGATTAATCTTAAAAATGAGTTTAATTGTAAAAATAGTCATGTGAAATATGGGCGGTCTCGACATGTTCGTTCATGCTACCGCTGCGTTAGCTCGTTCTCTAGCAAAAACGGTGCCATTTTCTTCGGTTATTACATTTTTACGATTACCAAAGCAGATAAACATCCATTATAATATCTATGAAGTACTAAAAGCGTGACTTTAAACAACCTATTAACAACGGAGATATGCAAAGCTTGGAAACAAACAAAAACAATTCAAGTCTACGGAGGCTAGCAGATTTGTTATTAGCGGAAGTGTCTTCAGTGACGTTCCGTCGTCCTTTTCATTCCCCTCGACACAACGTCATGTTCATGTTCATGTTCCTGGTCCCACAAAGTTTTTTCCCCACTATTTGTTTTTGTTGGAAAAAAAACCCGAAAAGTTAAACTATCATAAAAAACTAGTTACCATTTTAAATATAATAACATATAGTTTATCTCGCAATGCCACGATAACACCGGCGGTCAAAACATATAAGTCGTAAGACGAATGTTCCTCAAGTTGAACATATGTTCATCAACATAAGCTCTTTTTCATCTTTACCTGAATATGTATCTACGTGCTGACTGTGTAGTTTTACAAAACAAGCTTTCCAACGTGAAATATTTCCCCCGACATCACAAAATTATTATCAACTGTCATGTTTCCTCCTCCTACTTTGTTGTCTCCAACTCCACCCGCACCAGTTCCATTTTCTCAAGCCCCGACTTGAACACGCTTTTCTTGTTCAAACTCAGCTCTGTGTTGAAATAAAGCAGGAATGTACGGGGCACCGCAATAACGTACGTTTATTTTCCTTTTTCCTCCTGGCGACGCCTGAGACCCCTGACGTTACTAAGGACGATGGACGACATTGAGATGGAGTCCGACATAGACGAACTAGAAAATGCAAAGTTGGGCATGATAGAAGATGAAGTTGGTGAGAGCGATTGTCTATTTCGCAAACTGTATTTTTTTGTTTGTCTGTTTTTAGTCCAGATGTGGAAGTCCTGTTAGGCTTTATCCCCGCGGTCACGTGGGATTTCTCTTTTCATCCATCCCTCTGTGTAAAGTTTCCTACTCTGGCTAGTCAGTCGAGTTACATTTTTACCCCCGAACCCCCCCCCCCCCCCACCCCCCACCCCATATTTAATGTTGTACATATTAAACAGAAGATCAAACTTGAATTTTTAACCAGCTGAATGGTTAAAAAAAGAAAGAAAAAGAACCTCAACATTTAAATATTCAAACTATGCAAACTGTTGCATGCAGCTGTGGTGCAACGTCCAAAATCCTTGGATCAGACCAGGCCAGTCAGTTAACATTTAAAAACATTAATCTCACATTCTAATTCACCTTTAATTAGTATGCAAACAAGCTGTGTCTCTTCCAAGAAACTACAAAGAAACAGGGAGTGATTTCTTTTGTCAACACTTTTCTTATTTGGATTTTTAAGATTCCAGCAGACAATCTTCTGCACTAACATGCTTCACCTGCTTTAAACCAAGCGTGGGAGAAAGAAACGTCTGCATTTTATTACTAGATGTGATTGTAACCATACTGAACCATGAGGGCGTGTCTGATCTCTGTTTAATACATATGTTCTTCCATTGTAATTAAACATTAATGCACTTCTGATCCTGTAGTGCAGTTATAGTCTGGTTCCACTTCGTTACATTAGGATAATCAGGAGATTTTACTGTATTTCATTCATTTTTGTTCTGGTTTCTCCAGATTTTTTTATCACTATAAACCCGTTTTTGGGGTTCCCACCTAAAATCAACAATCAGGAGTCTTATTTTGTGCAAAATGTAGTCAGAGGAGGTCAGGAAATTGCTATTTCTCTGGTGTCCACATAGCTTAATTTTAGAGGAAGAGGTTTGTGCGAAAAAAGCACTTCCTGTTATTTGTTGCTCATATTAAACTTAACCTATACAATTCACAGTGGTCTTGTGCAGCCTATAGGAGGTACCTGACAAAAACAATGCATTATTTTCCTGTTTAGTTACTCCGGCCTTCACCACTTTGTAAGAAAGTCTGTGGAGGATGTTCTCTAAAAGGAAGTTGGCACACAGTTGGCGGGTTACATTGCTGCAGCAGCTCATAGCTGTTGCTTCCACTTTGTTTCGTCGTCGTCGTCGTCGTCTTCCTCCGCTTATCCGGGTCCGGGTCGCGGGGGCAGCATCCCAACTAGGGAGCTCCAGGCCGTCCTCTCCCCGGCCTTGTCCACCAGCTCCTCCGGCAGGACCCCAAGGCGTTCCCGGACCAGATTGGAGATGTAACCTCTCCAACGTGTCCTGGGTCGACCCGGGGGCCTTCTGCCGGCAGGACATGCCCGAAACACCTCCCCGGGGAGGCGTCCAGGAGGCATCCTGACCAGATGCCCAAACCACCTCAACTGGCTCCTTTCGATCCGGAGGAGCAGCGGTTCTACTCCGAGTCCCTCCCGAATGTCCGAGCTCCTCACCCTATCTCTAAGGCTGAGCCCGGCCACCCTACGGAGGAAACTCATTTCGGCCGCTTGTATCCGCGATCTCGTTCTTTCGGTCATTACCCAAAGCTCATGACCATAGGTGAGGATTGGGACGTAGATCGACCGGTAAATCGAGAGCCTGGCTTTCTGGCTCAGCTCCCTCTTCCCCACGACAGATCGGCTCAGCGTCCGCATCACTGCAGATGCCGAACCAATCCGCCTGTCGATCTCCCGATCCCTCCTACCCTCACTCGTGAACAAGACCCCGAGATACTTAAACTCCTCCACTTGAGGTAGGACCTCTCCCCCGACCCGGAGGTGGCAAGCCACCCTTTTCCGGTCGAGAACCATGGTCTCAGATTTGGAGGTGCTGATCCTCATCCCAGCCGCTTCACATTCGGCCGCGAACCTACCCAGCAAGAGCTGAAGGCCAGAGCTGGATGAAGCTAGGAGGACCACATCATCCGCAAAAAGCAGAGACGAGATTCTCCTGCCACCAAACTCGACACACTCCACACCACGGCTGCGTCTAGAAATTCTGTCCATAAAAGTGATGAACAGAACCGGTGACAAAGGGCAGCCCTGGCGGAGTCCAACCCTCACTGGGAACAGGTCCGACTTACTACCGGCTATGCGGACCAAACTCACGCTCCTCTGGTAAAGGGACTGAATGGCCCTTAACAGAAAGCCACCCACCCCATACTCCTGGAGCGTCCCCCACAGGATGCCCCTGGGGACACGGTCATAAGCCTTCTCCAAATCCACAAAGCACATGTGGATTGGTTGGGCAAACTCCCATGCCCCCTCCATCACCCTTGCAAGGGTATAGAGCTGGTCCACAGTTCCACGGCCAGGACGAAAACCACATTGCTCCTCCTCTATCTGAGATTCAACTATCGATCGGACCCTCCTCTCCAGTACCTTGGAGTAGACCTTTCCAGGGAGGCTGAGGAGTGTGATCCCCCTATAGTTGGAACACACCCTCAGGTCACCCTTCTTAAAGATGGGGACCACCACCCCGGTCTGCCACTCCCTAGGAACTGCCCCCGATGACCACGCAATGTTGTAGAGACGTGTCAACCATGACAGCCCTACAACATCCATAGCCTTGAGATACCCAGGACGAACCTCATCCGCCCCCGGGGCTCCGCCGCTGTGTAGTTGTTTGACTACCTCAGCAACTTCTGCCCCCGAGATCGGACAGTCCATCCCCAGGCCTCCCAGCTCTAGTTCCTCCTCGGAATGCGCATTGGTGGGATTGAGGAGCTCCTCAAAGTATTCCTTCCACCGTCCGACTATAGCCTCAGTTGACGTCAGCAGCTCCCCATCCCCACTGTAAACAGTGTGAGCGAGTTGCTGCCTTCCTCTCCTGAGGCGCCGGACAGTTTGCCAGAACCTCTTTGGAGCCGATCGATAGTCTTTCTCCATGGCCTCACCAAACTCCTCCCACGCCCGAGATTTTGCCTCGGCAACTGCCACTGCTGCACCCCGCTTGGCTATCCGGTACCTGTCTGCTGCCTCCGGAGACCCACAGACCAGCCACGCCCTGTAGGCCTCCTTCTTCAGCCTGACGGCTCCCCGAACCTCTGGTGTCCACCAGCGGGTACGGGGGTTGCCACCACGACTGGCACCGGCCACCTTACGACCACAGCTAGCAACAGCCGCCTCGACAATCGCAGAGTTGAACAAGGCCCACTCGGACTCAATGTCCCCCACTGCTCTCGGGACGTGGTCAAAGCTCTGCCGGAGGTGGGAGTTGAAGACCATCTTGACAGGTTCTTCTGCCAGGCGTTCCCAGCAGACCCTCACTATGCGTTTGGGTCTGCCAGGTCTACGCGGCATGTTCCCTTGCCATCTGATCCAACTCACCACCAGGTGGTGATCAGTTGACAGCTCCGCCCCTCTCTTCACTCGGGTGTCCAAAACATACGGCCGCAGGTCAGATGATACGACTACAAAATCTATCATCGACCTGTGACCTAGGCTGCCCTGGTACCAAGTGTACCGGTGGGCATCCTTATGTTCGAACATGGTGTTCGTTATGGCCAAACTGCGGCTTGCACAGAAGTCCAATAACAAAACACCGCTCGAGTTCTGATCAGGTGGGCCGTTCCTCCCAATCACACCCCTCCAGGTCAAGCTGTCATTGCCCACGTGAGCATTGAAGTCCCCCAGCAGGACAATGGAGTCCCCTGATGGAGCACTATCTAGCACTCGTCCCAGGGACTCCAAAAAGGGTGGGTACTCTGAACTGATATTTGGCCCATAAGCACAAACAACAGTCAGGACCCGTTCCCCGACCCGAAGGCGCAAGGAAGCTACCCTCTTGTCCCCCGGGGTAAACCCCAACACACAGGCAGAGAGTCTCGGGGCTAACAAAAAGCCAACCCCAGCCCTCCGCCTCTCACCCGGAGCAACTCCAGCAAAGTAGAGTGTCCAACCCCTCTCCAGGTCTCGGGTTCCAGAGCCAATGCTATGTGTCGAGGTGAGTCCGACTATATCTAGCCGGTACCGCTCAACCTCTGCCACAAGCTCCGGCTCCTTCCCCGCCAGCGAGGTGACGTTCCATGTCCCAAAAACTAGTTTTCTTGTCCGGGGATTGGACCGCCAAGGCTCCCGCCTTGGTCTGCCACCCGATTCACATTGCACCGGACCCTTCATGTTCCTCCTGCGGGTGGTGGGTCCACAGTTGGACGAGCCCATGTATCCGGTTCGGGCTGGGCCCGGCCGGGCCCCATGGGCGAAAGCCCGGCCACCAGGCGCTCGCTCACGGGCCCCAACCCCAGGCCTGGCTCCAGGGTGGGACCCCGGTAACCCTCCGGGCCGGGTACTCCGACTCTTCGTTTTAACCGCCATGAAAGATCCTTCGAACCGTTCTTTGTCTCACCCTTCACCTAAGACCAATTTGTCATGGGAGACCCTACCAGGGGCACTAAGTGCCCCAGACAACATAGCTCCTAGGATCATTAGGGCACTCAAACTCCTCCACCACGATAAGGTGACGGTTCAAGGACGGTTGTTTCGTGTTGTTTATTTTATGCTTTGAGATTGTGGAGATAAGTGTGGAAGATGTCGGTGTGGTGGGCAATCTGACGATATTGTCACAAAATAGACGAGTTGAAACCACAGTCACTGGTTGAAACACATCAATAAAATGTAAAATATGTTTAAACTGGCTTTGCTAGAGATGTTTTTTTAATGGACATTTTTATTTCTTCTATTTGATGATTTATTCTACAGTTAGTTTCCCAGCATGTTACTATGAAGCGTGTTTTGAAAACAACATCTGTTCCTGGTTAGACTTCCATTCACCGTGGCAGAGAGGCCCAGACTTCCCTCTATCCAGCCACAGCTCCTCCGGGGAAATCCTAAGGCTTTCCCTGGCCAGATGAGAGACTCCAGCATGTCCTGGGTTTTCATTTAGGTCTTTTCTTGGTTGGAAGTGCTGGGAAATCCTCACCAGGGAGGCATCCACCTCAACTGGCTCCTCTCGATGTGGAGGAGCAAAGGGTCCGAGCCCGAGCCCCTCCCAAATGACCAAGCTTCTCGCCCTATCTCCAGCCCAGCCACACTGTAGAGAAAACTCATTTCAGCCTCTTGTGAGGGTAGGAACGTAGATCGACCGGTAAATCAAGAGCTTTGCATTCCGGTTCAGCTCTCTCTTCACCATGACAGAACGCCCGCATCACTGCAGATGCAGCACCAATCCACCTGTCGATCTCACACTGCAGCTTTCCCTCATTCGTGAACAAGACCCCTCCACTTGGGGCAGGACCTCATCCCTGACCTGGAGAAGGCATTCTCCCCTTTTCCAATTCAAGACCATTGTTTCAGATTTAGAGGAGCTGATTCTCATCCCAGCTGCTTCACACTTGGTTGCGAACCGCTCCAGTGAAAGCTGGAGATCATGTTCTAATGAAGCCAACAGGACCACACCATCTGCAAAAAGCAGAAACCTGATCCTTAGGTCACCAAAACAGATCCGGCTGAGTCCAACTCTCACCGGAAATGAGCTCAACTTACTGTCAGCAATGCGGACCAAGCTCTGACACCGGTCATACAGAGACCTAACAGCCTGTATCAGAGGGCTTGGTACCCCCTACTCCCAGAGTACCCCCCACATGCCCCCCCCCCCCCTGAGGGACGCGGTCAAACATCTTCTCCAAATCCACAAAACATATGTAGATTGGTTGGGCAAATTCCCACGCACCCTCCAGGATCCCCCTAAGGGTATAGAGCAAAAAACTGCTGAGCAAGAAACAAGAAACCTTTACTGCCTGAATCATAATTTTCAATGTAATCTGAATTCAATAATCTTAATCTGGTCATTTTATGACTTTAAAGTAAATCAGAAAATTCTGTATTGGCAGGCCAAAGTTGTGCAATAATTTTAAATTGGCATTTTATTTATTTTTTGTTGAGACATCCTTCCAGATTATCAACATGAACTTATAAAATTTTTGTCACATTTTAAAAGTCAGTTTTTCCCCCAAGAGAGGTAAAATATTCCACAACTGCGCTGTTCTGGGTGGCTGCTTGTTGGAGTAGCTCTGTTGACTATATGTAAGTTTTGCCTTTTTTTGACATTTTTTCTTCTGGTTTCTCAAGAAAAACGGTATTTTTTGGACATTTTACTTTTCTGTTTCTGGTGCTGTGAAGCTTAGAGGATTTTTACTGCTATTTTTTCACTTTTTGAGCATTTGTTATGATGTGTAACCATAGCAACAAGCTGGTTTGCAATCGGGAGCAGCTGATTAGCATGGGAAAGACTGAAATAATACCTCAACTGAAGCCACAAATCCCAAATGAGCTAAAATGCAAGAAGCGTGGGTGCAAAGCGGGAGGAAAACAGAGACATACAGATGAAAGAAAAAAATCAAACCATCTCTTCCATTGATCATAATGGGCAATGTGAGATTACTGGCCAACAAGATGGATGAACTCCAAGCCCTTTCAAGGACTCAGCCAGAATATTGGCAGTGCAGTGTTATTTGTTTGAGACGTGGCTGCAGGACCATATCCCCGATTTCAGCGTCTCTCTGCCAGGATTCCTGACTGTACGAGCAGACAGGGATCTGAAGAGGAGCAGGAAAAGAAAAGGAGATGGAGTGGCAGTGCTTGTCAACAACAGATGGTGCCATCCAGGTCATGTTTCAGTGAAATGTCGTCTCTGCAGCCCAGATGTTGAACTCTTGGCAGTAAGTTGTCGCCCATATTATTTGACAAGAGAGTTCACCAGTGTTGTCTTGGCAACCGTTTATATTCCACCTTCAGTCATTGTTGAAAATGCATGTGATGCCATCAGTTCCATTGTCGCTAAGCTACAAACCCAGCACCCCAATGCATTTGTGGCTATATCTCGTGATTTTAATCATGCCTCGCTCTCTGCTACACTTCCAACATTTCAACATTTTGTCAGCTGCTCCACCAGAGAAAACAAGACATTGGATTTGTGTTATGCAAATGTAAAGAATGCATACACATCCAAAACAAGACCTCCTCCGGGACAATCAGATCACAATCTTGTTTTTCTCTGCTCAGAATACAAACCACTTGTTCAGAGGCATGTGACAAGAAGAACCATGAGAAAATGGCCACAGGATGCTGAAGAAGCCCTGCAGGGTTGTTTTGAGATCACAGATTGGATGACTCTCTGCCAAGGATATGAAGAGGACATCAGTGCCATGACTGGATGTGTCACTGACTATATAAACTTCTGTGTGGACAACATCATACCCATGAGATGCTTCGCTAATAACAAACCCTGGATCACCAGTGAACTGAAGAATCTTCTAAATGAGAAAAAAAGAGCCTTCAAGGAGGGAGACAGGGAATTATTGAGGAGTATACAGAAGTAACTGAAGATCAAGATCAGAGACAGCAAGAAGGCATACAGGAAGAAGCTGGAGAACAAACTACAGAGAAACAATATCAGAGATGTCTAGTCAGGGATGAAGAAGATCACAGGCTTCAAGCAGAGGAAGGATTGCACAGATGGCAGTCTGGACACAGCCAATGAACTGAACAAGTTCTTCAATTGGTTCAGTTCAGGAACAAACCCAGCATCCTCCTCGCCTGTCCCCAGCCAATCAGACATCCCATCCTCCTCTGATCCAACATTTTCCTGTCACACCCCAGCTCTTTTGTCCTCTAACACAGTCATGGACTCTTCTGGTTCTATAAATCTGTCTTTAGCCAAGTCAGGAGATGCTGCTTCCCCATTTACCTCCCTCCTATCTGTCTGTAGAAGTCAGGTGAAGAGGCAGCTGGAGAGACTGAACGGGAACAAGGCTGCAGGTACAGATGGTGTCAGCCCCAGAGTACTGAAGGCCTGTGCAGAGCAGCTCTGTGGGATTCTGCAGCACCTCTTCAACCTCAGCCTGGCCCAGGAGAAGGTTCCAGTCCTTTGGAAGACATCCTGCCTTGTTCCAGTTCCAAAGAAAACTCTTCCATCAGTCAGTGACGACTACAGACCGGTTGCCCTCACATTCCACATCATGAAGGTCCTGGAGAGACTCCTGTTGGTCCACTTGAATAAGCAAAATAGGACATATCAGGACCCGCTGCAGTTTACTTATCACCATGGAGTTGGAGCTGAAGATGCCATCATCCAGCTGCTTCAACCAACCCACTGTCATCTGGACAAAGCAGGCAACACTGTGAGGGTCATGTTCTTTTGATTTCTCCAGTGCATTTAACACAATCCAGCCTGATGTACTTTGCCAGAAACCCCAGAAGACACAGGTGGGGGCCTCAACTATCGCCTGGATTGAAGACTACCTGACAAACAGACCACAGTTTGTGAGGCTGAAGAACTGCACTTCAAACCAGGCGATCAGTAACATTGGAGCACCACAGGGGACTGTACTCTCACCATTCCTTTTCACCCTGTACACCTCAGACTTCCAGTACAAATCAGTGACCTGTCATCTACAGAAATACTCAGATGACTGCAGTTGTCGGGTGTATCAGAGATGGACAGGAAGCTGAGTACAGAGAGCTGGTGGAGCGCTTTGTTGCATCATCTGACCTTGACCGTGAACTAAACAACGGAGATGATTTTAGACTTCAGAAGAAACAGGGTGGAGTCAAACACTGTTTCCATCATGGGAGAAGAAGTGGAGGTGGTTGAGGAATACAAATACCTTGGAGTTCACCTGGACAACAGACTGGACTGGAGAAAGAACAGCAAAGCCGTTTACAAGAAGGGACACCGCTGACTGCACTTCTTGAGGATGCTTAGGTCCTTCAATGTCTGTAGCAAGATGCTGCACATCTACAAGTCTGTTGTTGAGAGTGTAATCTCTTCAGCCATCGTCTGTTAGGGTAGTAGCATCAGAAGCAGGGACCTGAAAAGGCTCAACAGCCTAATAAAAAAGGCTGGTTTTGTTCTGGGGATGACTGTGGAACCGCTGGAGGAGATGATGCAAAGACGGATTCTCCAGAGAATCAAGAAAATTATGGACAACCCTGAGCATTCTCTTCACAAGACTGTCCGACAATGGAAGTGTCTTCAGTCAGAAGCTTCTTCAGTTTGGCTGCAACACTGACCGCTACTGGAGATCCTTCCTGCCAACAGCCATTGTAATATACAATAACTATTTGATGACTTGATTATTATTATTATTCTGAGCTACTACAGCAATCAATTTCCCTCTGGGATTAATAAAGTATTTTTGAATTGAATTGAATTTAAATAACTGCTTTATGTGTTTTTAAAATCTGTTTTTAGATTAAACAGAGAAATATAAAGAAAAAATAACCCAAAACCCAGCAGAGTAAATTGTAATCTAAATTTTAATGTAAACTGTAAATAATGTTAATTTCCATACTCCGTTATTCTATCATTGCAGATCTTCCCTGTTGATTACAGCAACATTTTCTCATTTCTCGACTCCACATAACAGGAGATGATTAACTAACATTTAGTTTATTTGTTTATTTACTTATTTAATCTTACTATTATGTTTATAACCTTGTTTTTTGTCTTTCACAGTCTATCCTGAGGAGTTCTTACCCACATATCACTCTATTAAAGAAATGCGGAAAGTGAACCCAACAGTTCAGGTGAAAAACTATAATTAATCAAATGTAAACTCAGTGTGTGTGTGTGTGTGTGTGTGTGTGTGTGTGTGTGTGTGTGTGTGTGTGTGTGTGTGTGTGTTGGTTAAGCAAACAAAGTTCTATTAGTTTAATGAATGCTAACAATAGATTCCTCTTTTGTTTTTGTGTTTCATGAGCAGAAAGCAGAACAAAAATGTTTACTAATGTTATTAGGACTTTCATGCCTCATTATGCCACAAATCTCATTGTGTGGAGAGGAAAGGAGGGAGGGAGATGAAGGGCGGGTATCCTGGTGTTTGTTGACTCTTCCCATTTCTTCCTAATAGCCAACACCATGGATATAAGGAGCCTGTGAGGGACAGTGTGTACATATACATATATACCAGGATCTCTTCTCTGGGGCTTTAGAAACGATTGCTGCAGCATGTACAACATTATGGAGGAAGCGCAGTATGAGTTTCATGCTGTGGACCTACCGTCTAAGCTTTGCTTTTGCCCACAGGTGGAGTATAATGACAAATCCGACTCCTTATTTTTCAACGACGGTGTGAGGAGGATTGATTTCATTCTGGTGTATGAAGATGAGGAAATAAGGGAGAGGAAGGAGTACGAGAAGAGGCACCAAATCCAAAGGCATAAGGTGGGTTGCCTCTTATTAAAGTGTAGTCATTACAAGAATACTTAGAGCACAACTATAGATCCCAGCTACCTGTGAACTGTTTGATATAATAGCTTTAAATCAGGGATTCATAAGACTCCTTGTCTCTTAAATATGGAGTATAGTGGTTTATTAATGAAAAATGGTGTATAAACTTTTTAAATTTAAATAAGGTCATAAGATGCAAACAAGACAAATGCTAAACAGCAAATTATTAGGTTTTTAATTTTTTTTTCATAAATACTTGATGAAAAGATGAGCTTCGGTGCTCCGACACACGATTGGCTCTTGGGTATTTGTAAAGGGTGTTTTTATTTCCACCAGGATGTCCTTCACTTATTCACTTGTGAATGTGTACCAAGGACTTCCCATGGCTTTAAGCTGTGCTGTGTTATGGAATGAGTTAAGATAAAGAACGGTCAGAACTTTGTGAAGTGCACTGGGAACCAGTCACTTCATTAATGGAACAAAAATGGAAAAAAAAGACTAAATTAACTCAACATAATACCGAGAAACAGGCTCGTCCAGGTGTGTTCAGGTGTTTTTCACAATAGGCTTACAGATCTGTTTGTGCAACATGGTGTGTGGAACAACTTTACAGCAAAGGAACAAGTGAGAACTGAAACTCTGGCCCCTGGTTTGTTTAGTAAATCAGTCATCCACGTGACTTTTTTTTCCACAACATTCTTCATTTGAATTTTTCCACGAAAGCTGTTGTGTAATTTCACAACGCCGACCGGAAGTATTGAGTGTCAACTGCAACAAGCCACAAAGCTGTTCAGCCTGTTTAAAGGAGTTCCTTGGAATACCTGATTAATAAAGTCAGTCACGATTCCCGAGAGCAGATCCTCTGAAGCTGAGGAATTCCATGTTTCACAATAATCCCAAACCAAACTAAATCCTCAGAGGACTGAGCTGCACCAGACACTCCCTTTGCTCTGTCCAACAGAAGTTACACATCTTCCATCAGCTGATAAACACGTGTGGTTGTGGAAGGTGGAGCGGAACCTTCAGTAAAATAATGCAAACTTAGTTGTTCTTGTTTAATTTGTATGCCTTGTTAGTGAATGTGAAAAAAAGAGTTATTTCCCTGTTTTTCCTGGAAACATCTGCTGAAACAAAAGGGAGCGACAACAATGGGACTTCTGGTCCTCGTAAATATGTTGTTATGGATACGTTAAATACTTAGCTCACCCAGAAAGTCTGCTTTATACAAAACAATCATCTTAAAGGTGTGGAAAACTGATAAACCAATTAAAAAAACCTCATTTCTGATTATAATCATGCCGAGTTTTTCATGCAGGCTGAACATGAAAATCGTCTCCTACACCTATCTCCTGCATTAGTTTAGGCTAGGATTAAAAAAACCTGATAGATCTACGTCACACTGTCACCTAACATTCATGATCTCACCCATCTTGATTCACGACAGGGAAGGCTGGTTTGGTGCCCAGGAAACAGCAGAGAATGTCTCGGCTAGTAGAAGCTAACGGTTATCATTAGCAACTCCACCGCACAGCAGAACTCCTCCAGGCGTGTGTTATTTGTGGAGATACAGTGTGATGCAAAAGTTTTGGCAGCCTTGTTAATCTTCATGATTTTCCTGTATAAATTGTTAGTTGTTAAGATAAAATGTTTCAGTTAAATACATCATAGAGGTGACACACACGGGGATATTTGAGAAGTGAAACTAAGTTTGTAGGATTTACAGAAAGTGTGCAATAATTGTTTAAAAAAATTAGCAGGTGCATACATTTGGGCACTGTTGTAATTATTGGAACTCAAAATTGGTTTGGTAAGCTCGGTGACCCTTGACCTCCATACACAACTCCTAACTACAGTTAGGAGAAAGAGTATTAAGGGGGGCAATTGTAAGTTTCCCTCCTTTTTTAATATTCTCTGAAGAGTAGCAACATGGGGCTCTCACGACAACTCTCAGATGAGATGAAACAAAAATTGTTCACCATCAAGGTTTAGGGGAAGGATCCAGAAAGCTGTCTCAGAGATTTTGGCTGTCTGTTTCACCAGTTAGGATCAAATTGAGGAAATGGAAAACCACAGTTCAAGTTAAGGCTCAAAGTGGCAGATCAAGAAAACTTTGGAATAAACAGAAGTGAAAAATGTTCAGAACAGTCAAAGTCAACCCACAGACCAGCACCAAAGACCTACAACATCATCCTGCTGCAGATGGAGTCGCTGTGCATTGTTCAACTATTCAGCGCACTTTACACAAGGAGATGCTGCATGTGAAAGTGATGCAGAGGAAGCTTTTCAGCACAAACTGAGCTGCTTGAGGAATGCTAAAGCACATTTGGACTGATGAAACTAAAACTGAGTTATTTGGGCATAACAAGGGGCGTTAAGGAGGAAAGAGAACACAGCATTCTAAGAAAAACACCTGCTACCTACAGTAAAACATGCTGGTGGTTCCATCATGCTGTGGGGCTGTGTGGCCAGTGCAGGGACTGGGAATTTTACACAACTGCCTAATTTTGTTTAAAAACAATTATTGCACACTTTCTGAAATCCTATGAACTTTGCTTCACTTCTCAAATATCACTGTGTGTGCCTCCTATATGATGTATTTAGCTTAAAAGTTTTTAACGATTACGCAGATTAACAAGGCTGCCTAAACTTTCACATTCCACTGAAAAATGTTGCAATTCAGTGGTAGAATCGCGTTGCTGTTATCCAATTCGAGGCGAGAGGTACAAATGTGAGGAAATAAGACTCCAAAACCTGCCGTCTGAAGCTCAGCTGTGATGTGGCTCACTTCCTGTTGCACTCTTTTGCCCCCCCCCCCCCCCCCCAATATGACTTACAAAGCATTCATTCCTACTAGAGACCACTCTTAATGTTGATTAAACGAGTGTTGCCTTTAATTTTTTTTAAATAGCTCAAATAAAAACATGATCAGTTTTTTTTTGGCATATTTACAAAATTTTTTATTTTATTTTTGTTTTTAAGGAAAAAGCATGTGCATTTTTTTATTAGCTGTCCAGGTCACCTTTGTGAAAGAGGTCTTGATCTCAATGGGACTTTTATCTGGTTATATGTGTCATGGTGGGTGGCAATTTCTTGACCCACGACATGCAGAATCACAACACGGAGAGCAGGAATGTAAGTAAAAAGGCTTTTATTACTAATAAGGAGACATGTAAGAGACGGGAACCGACGAGATGCAGGACTGGCAGCAGGAATCCAGGATGAGATTCTAAGGAGGGCGACAGAGTGAATATAAGGCGGAAAACAAATGGGAACTTATCTGAAGACTGGTCTTACTGTTACTTGGTAGTGGTAACGGTACAGGAAGGATTGTCTGGTCCGGGTGAGCTGAGGAGATCCAAAAGGTAAGGTATTGGTTGTCCAGAGGTGGAGAAGCAGGAATGGCTGTTGGTAGGTGAGCGGCTGAGAACGGGCGGCCAGGGGATGAAGCAGTGTGTCAGGTAGACTGAGATCGGGGTTTGTTCTGGAGCTGGTGAGGGATTAAGATGAACCTGGAGGAGAGCAGGAGAGGGCATTAAGGGGTTTTCAGGCAACAGGTTAACAAGAGCACAAATACAAGTATCAAGGTCAGGTTGAGGCTAGAGCTACCCAAACAGAGTAATCATCCGGCGTGGTGAAGTGTCGCACTGCTCCTTAAATCCCCTGGGCCTTGAGGAGATCAGCTGCAGCTGGGAGCTCTCAGACACACCCACCTGTGGAAACAATGCTCAGAGGAGAAAGCCAGGTTACAGGCAGTCAGCTCACCACGGACCATGACAATATGAAGGTTTAGTACAGTGAAATGTGATACTTGTTTGGCCATAGCTGTACTTTTTGCGAGCTTGTAAAAAAGAATCATGAGAAATTCATGTCTAAACTTATAGCTCATTGAATATTTTCTGGTTTCTCTGCAGAGGCGACGAGAGTACTTTGAAGCCAGTCTGATGAATATGGGCATGGAGCTGGAAGCTGTAAAGTCTGTAAGTGGTAGTCCTTTTAATCTCCTCCCGTTTTTCCCACTTAAACTGATCTCTTACTCCACTACTCTGCAGGTAGTGGATGAGGGAGTTGTGTTTGTAAAAGTCCACATGCCGTGGAAGGTGCTGTGCACCTATGCCGAGGTCCTGCACATCAAAGTCCCCATCCAGCCTAACGACATGGCCTCCCGCCCATCCATGTGGGACTGTATCTCCTGTTTCACCAAGCACTTCTATCCCAATGAAGACCTGATAAGAAAAGAACCCGAGTTCTTCACTGCGCCCTTCGAGAGAGACCGTCAGGAATACTTCCATATCAAAGACAAAGATCACTTCTTCACACCATCCATGAGGAGCCGGATGGCAAGTTGCAACCGGCTTTTACAGTTGGTTTAGAAGGCCTGTATTTTTAAGGACAGGTCTTAATGGGTCTTAAGAGTTAATATTTTCCTTCTTCTCTCAGGCATTTTACATCCTGAGCAGCGCCCCTTATGAAATACGAGGAAACATCAAGAAGTTTGGCATCAACAAACTGCTGGATAGTGGAATATACAAAGCTGCCTATCCCCTTCATGATGTAAGTTTCCTGCTTTATTCACCAATATTAGGGATTTTAAGATGGCAGAATTGAAAATTTGACCAATTTCAAAACATAACAGACCATACATGTGTTGATAAAAAAAATCAAGTATATAACAGTTTTGGTCTTGCAGTGTGTGGTGCGCAGAAACTACACACAAACATTCACAGATTATACTGGGAATGTAGCAAAAACCTCTCGAGATCAAACGGGCCCTTTGGAGTGAACAAACATGGCAGAGGGCGCACATGCTACTGTCACTTTGCGGTCTGACATTCCAACCAGCTGCCCCTATGTTCGTCCTCAGACTAAACATGTTTAATGTGCCTTATTTACGATCAGAGTGGTCCAGACACGCTTTAGAGCGGAAAAGAATGCTCTTAACACACCACACACTGTAGGAATATCTGATAAGATCATGTTTAGAGCCATTACTGTAATCAGGTGTGTTCTTAAAGATGGGGTATGAGATTTTATTCTTGTCGGTGAAGCAAGCCACATTTTGAAAAAAAAAATTCAAAGGTCAGACCCCCTGTCTTCAGACTCCGCCCATAAAGTCACAGGATCTGATGGTTGCTGAAAATGGTGTGAGACCAAACACAACAGATATTGTAAAAAAAAACTTTAAAACAACGTTATCTTATATTTTCCACCTGTTGTTGTCACCTTTTTCGGCCGTATATTTTACGTAAGACACCAACGTAACAGCCATGGAGCCTCCATACCAACCGTAAAGTATGTACCAAATAAGCTGTTCTATTGTTGTTGTCCATTCCTTCGGTCATTGTACATATCCTGTTTATACTTCATCGGCTTCACTATCGTCAGCATTTGTTTATTATTTGTGTTGCTATAGGCTAACCGGAAGAAATCACGTCGCCACCTACTGTAGTGGAGTAGCACTTCGTTTGAGAGTTGGGTTTTCCAGCGTACATGTAAACTAGGATAAAGGCTCCCAGTTTATTGCTGTAGGTCGACTTGATGTGCATGTAAACGCACTGACTGTCAAGTTGTTTTCAGAGACAGAAAGGCCGAGAGGATTTCTGATGCCAGCGAGAAGGAATGTAGCGTGTCAGTGAGACCCAGACGCGTAAATCAGAGCGCTAAGTGGTAACTGACCGGCTGATTGAATCTAGGACCTACAGGCAGCAGACCATATTCTACAAGAGTGCAGGTAGCTCCAGCGGGGGAAATAATGAAACGAAGGACCCTTACATAGCCCCTGGGATTGTAGGAGGAATCTGGTAGCCTCTGATACGTGATGAGGATGAAGACTGGTCAATCAAAAGAAGACATGTTCTAGGACTCTAGAAGGTGCCATTTATAAATACAGACCATTTACCATTCACAGAAGTGGGACGGATGGTTGGTTTGATAGATGAATAACTATAAAATCTTTAAGAATGGGACATCCACAATGATTAGATGAGGGTTATCCAGGATTATACATTTCAGAGAGGTGATTAAAATGATTAATATTCGGACAAAACATCAAATTTATTGGTTGCCATTGGTATGTAACAAGCATTTCAATCAATTTGCCAAAAATACTCCAGAAAAACATCTCAGACCCCACCTTTAAGAATATCCAGATGGGAGGATCAGGTGAAAAATCAGCTGATAATCTTGCTGTAAAATGCATAATGCTGTTGTTTTTGCTACTCAAGTGCAGGTTTAATGTCAGGTCTCAGGAAGAAGGCTGTCCTAATGAGAGGCTTCTGCTCTATGAAGAATGGGCTCATCCCAAGAACTTCTACAAAGTGCAGCCGTTTGACCTCATAAGGTGTGCAAACCGTTTATTAACCTCCTCACATAAATGTGGCATTAATGAAGACGTGCATTAAGTTCTGTGTCATCTTACTTTTACTTTAGGAAGTACTTTGGCGAGAAGATCGGCATTTACTTTGCCTGGTTGGGTTTCTACACTTTTATGCTGGCTCTGGCCGCTGCTGTGGGACTGGCCTGTTTCTTTTATGGATATCGAACTCAAGAAACTAGCACATGGAGGTATCATGAAAAAATCTGTAATTGTATGTGGGGTTAAATAGGCTGAATGCTGTAGAAAATAAAATACTCTGAACTAGGGTTGTCCTGATCCGATCACATGATCGGAAATCGGCCCCGATCACGTGGTTTCAGACTCATCGGAACTTAGGCTTTACTTCCTGATCCAAGCCCCGATCCGGAGTTGGATACTGGGTTCAAATTACAGGAGAGCAACTTGGTTCTCCTTAAAGGTTGTCAGGCTCCCCTGATGCCCTTAACTTAAACACCCAGAAGGAGCACAGAAAAGATCCAGTTTCTACCCATATTATGCTATTTATATGGACTCAGAGTAGTGAGGATTCTTTTGAGCAGAGATGCAGAGAGCGGCACAGGGCCGGAGTGGGACACATTTTCAGCCCTGGAGTTTCAGACCCCAGACCGGCCCACTTAATGAATTATTATTAAAATCATGTTAGAACTTTATATGTATAGTCTACAAAAGCACACTACTCAGTAAAGCCTTGTAATTCAGTGCAAGAAAGAGTTGCTTTACAATGTAGGTTTATTTGAACATCAGTGCACATCTCCAACATTGTTCTTTACAACACATTCTCTGACAATATAACAATCTACATTCTGTTCAAACAGCTGTTCTGAGATTTTCAAATCTTTAAAATGAAATGACTCAGCACTCCCTTTCACACTTTTTCCAGTTTTCCTATACTCACCTGCACACAATTAAAATAATCATCTGTAAAGCTTTAGCACATTTGATATGGAAAACACATTTTTGGAACCAATTAAAATATTTTCTATGGCAAAATATGCAGGCTTATTTAATTTTACTTTCATTCTAATAGCGATCTGTTGTGGGCTTTGTGCATTTACTAATAAAAATACATCAGGTCACTACTATTATTTGGACATTAAAATTATTATAATGAAACTGATGTTTGCACATGAGTTGGCTAACCTTCTATCCCAACAGGAGCAATACCCTCACTGCTGGCTCCTGGCTCTTCTTCTGACACTACATTGTGTGAAAATGGTCACAATTCAGCATTCATTTTCCTTTTTTACACGTTTTCTGATCAATGCTGAATCATCTAGCATTTTAGGACACTTTCATATAGAGCCAGGATAGTTTTCATCATATAAATTTTAATAATATTCAGTTCACTGACTCAATAAGTAATCACCTGTACATGCCCGCTCTGGAATGGTGGGTTTCTGCCTGGTGCTTATTAGGCCTACTGGATCTTGTGGGCTACAAGACAGTTTGGTGGCATCAGTCACATCATACTGTTAACTATATTACATAACGTTATGTCATGACGCCATATAATTCATTATTGATGCTTAATTAACTTGAATGGTGATTTGCAGCCGGTAAAGTTTAACATTTTGACTTGCCTTACCCGTTTTATCTTCATTTGAAGTTAAAGACCGCGAGCTTGTTTGAGAAAAAAAGGAGCTAATTTTTGCACATTTAGCTGCATCTGTTTCCAGCGCTTTCCTCTTTTTAATTCTTGCCTTTTCCGCGCCACCCTTGCTCTTTCTGCTTTCCATCTTTCTGTCAACTGCGTGGTCACGTGGTGCGCACAGGCGCATACAGGGGAAAAAGAAAAAAAAAACGAGCAGCAGCCTGCAGGTAGAGACAGCCGGGAGGAGCGTATGTGATCAGCCCGGCGGCCTCAGTGCCATGACTGAACACCGGCACCAAAAAATAAAAATAAAATGATAAAAAGCAAAAACGAGAGCACCGGCCCATGCGGCCCAAACATCGCGCGGCCCACCGGGAATTCTCCAGACCCTCCCGATTAGCCACTCCGGGCCTGGAGCGGCAGGTAGACCGCTGATTATTCATGAACTCCAGCTGTGTCCTGCACACGGCCACAGTAACATTTTTCTAAGTTTCTAAGTGTCACCAAAAAATATAAAATTAACACACAGTCATTTGTGTCTGTTCATTTTCTCTCTGTTAAGTTCTGTCTGAATTTGAGAATGACGCGTGGACGCGCTCGCGCTGCCCCCGCTGCAGTGCACACTCCGCTCTTTTAGCGGTCAATAGATCAATTTGATCTGCTAGTTAAAAATTTACTTGTGAGGTGAAAAAGAAGGAAGCAGGCAGGAGGTTTTCTGGAGGACTGGGAGATGCAGGAAGATCAGAGACAGACAGGACAGGAAGATGGCAAAATAAAAACCAAGAAAACAAAACAAAGTTCTTAAAAAATAAAATGTAGGTAGATTTATCCCACTACACGTTTGTACCTGTATAAAGCAGTAATTTATCAGCATGTAGTATTTATATAGTTGATACAATTCAGATCATCTTCAAAACGCTGTCCCACGCCCAGGGACGTATCTAAGCATTTTGGGGGCCGAGGCAAAATAGACCCCAGCCAGGTATTTTAAGTTGAAGTGCTATCTGTTTTTATAATAGACTTTTTATATCTGCAATAAAGTCCAAAAGTGAAGAATTTATGTTATTTTTACTTGATTGTTCAGGCTACCTCACAGAAGTGATCTGTTGTTAAAAATTAAAATAAAAAGGTAATTAAATAATAAATTAGGAACATTCTGGAACTGTTTCTTCCTTTTCTTTTCTTTTTTTATGTATCGAAAGTATCGGATCGGGACTCAGTATCGGCAGATTCTCAAAATCAAATGACTCGGACTGGAGGGCAAAAAAACCTGATCGGGACATCCCTACTCTGAACCATAACATACTTTTTCTAACTTTCAGTTGCTCATATCAAGTTCCCAGTGTTGGGCAAGTTACTTCAAAACTGTAATGTATTATTTATTACTTGTTACCCTCATTTTAAAGTAATTCATTACATTACAATATTACTGATTTTAAAATGTAAGGCATTACACTACTTTTGCATTATTCTAAGTTACTTTCACCAAAACAAATTCAGTATGAATCTGGTAATGTGACGCTCAGTGAGCTCATGACATATATGTGGAAGGTGATGTGGTGTCTGAGCTAGGGTTGCTGTTAAAAACAGTCAGATATAATAACAGTGCTTTAAAATGATTGTTTATTAAATAAAAGCAACAACAATCTTTACTCTCAGCACGCTGCCATCTTATATTAACTGAGCAGGGAGTGAGGTGGTGGGGGCTCCAAGCCTATACTTGCCTTGGTCCCCAAATGCCTTGATACGGCCCTGGATGTGGGACTGACTTCTGGGGTGATCTGATTCTATCACATGTATAAATATTAAATGCTTATATATTATTGCTTTTCACTGGTAAAAATGTCTATTGGGGATAAGTCTACCTACTTTTTTTCTTTTCAAGCATTTATATTTTGTTTTCTTGATTTTATTTGAATAATTTCCTGCCCTTTCTCTCTCTAACCTTCCTGCATACTGCATGTTTTCTCTGTCTTCCAGAAAAACTGTAAACTAAATTTCCTACTTTCTGACTAATCAGCCAAAGGAATCAACCGAACGCAAAAAAAAAAGCTTAATATGTGCTGCGCTCCAGCAGCAATGAGTTGAAATCACTGGGTCACAGATTATGAACTCAGCTGAAAATTACATGAAGTACCAGAGAATATGGGCTGATATAAACTATCGCGAACGAATGACTTTGTTTTGGTGGAGCGATTTTGTGAATATAACAGCGGCCGTGCGCAGGACGCAGCTGGAGTATTTGAGCCGTTACCGCTGCGTCCTCTCTGCTCATAGAATGCTCGCAAAGCTGAGTCCATAAATGACGTAATATATGTAGATACTGGATCTTTTTCAGGCTTCCCGCAATTAGAATTTTTAGGAAACCCACATCTTGATTCTGGGTTTTAAAATGCATTGTAATTACCGCGTTACTGACAACGTACCGAGTAAATATTACCATTTTCTTTCCCTGTAATGCCTTACATTACCACATTACAACAAAAAGCAATGCATTACAGTAATTAATTACTTTTATACCGCATTACTCCCAACACTGCAAGTTCCTGATTCAGACTGTGATGTTAGTTGTAATTATTTAATGAAAATCTGTTTTTTTTTTTTGTTTGTTTTTTGAGAAACACAAATAAGCGGAAGCTTCTGTTATGTCATAAAATGTGTGAGACTTTTTTTTTTCCTAAATAAGTTTTATGTTGACATTATTAAACAGCTTTAAAGGCATTTTGGTCGTAGCTTATGCAGGTCATCTAGACAGACAACCACCAACAACAATCAGCGGCTGATAAAAAGCACCTCAGACTTAATTTTGCAGGAAGGAAGCTGTTTATTGTTCAAATGCATCTTTCTCTTCAATCAGACATCTGGAATGAGTCATTTGTTTCACAGGAAATGTGGATTCGATCAGTACTCTCAAAATCTGTTTGATTCTTTTTTTTTTCACTTTCAAAGAGAACCAGAATGATTAAGACCAGAAAAAGGTTAGTTTTATGTTTGCCTCTGGCAAAGTGAAAAATTTGTGCCACCTTTGTGACGACAACCTTTCCAAGAACACACACTCATTTTTAAACTAAAATAAACACATTCTGCAAATGTTAGGGAGATACCCCCGAAGAGGGCGTGACTCGTCTCAGAAAAGCTGTCTGGTGAAAAGTTGTAAATAAAACAAACTAAAACCTACATGAGCCTTTTCTGTCATTGACTTGTGTTGTTTACACTGCTGTAACTCGACAACGTCCTCCCTCCATTCCTCATCCTGTTATGTGTTTAAATTCTTCAGCAAAGAGGTGTGTGACCCAGAGATCGGAGGAAAGATTGTCATGTGTCCTCAGTGTGACCTCTGCAAATACTGGATGTTAAACAGCACCTGTGACACCTCAAAGGTGAACTTAGTGTTTGTTACAAGAAAAAAAATTATTCTGATTGTCTTTCATCTAATTCTGCAAAGTATGGTTAGATGCTTTTTTATCTCGTGAATCCTCAAGTTTTTTTTTTCTTCTCCTTTTTTAGAAGCTTTGCATATTTGACAACTTTGGAACTTTAGTGTTTGCTGTTTTCATGTCCGTCTGGGGTGAGTCCCACAGCTTCAGTCTGGCAAATCTATAAATAGAAGAAGCTACGTATAGTGTTTCCTTCTGTCTCTCACAGTTTGTTTTGTTTCTTCTTCCTGTAGTCACTTTGTTCCTGGAGTTTTGGAAGCGCTACCAGGCGGAGTTGGAGTACGACTGGGACACTGTGGAGTTTCTGGAGCAGGAAGAGCCACCTCGCCCAGAATATGAAGCCAAGTGTATTTATGAGAGGAAAAACCCCATCACAGGGGTAGAGAACACACCCTGCATGTTCAACTAATGATAAATCTGATGGAAAACTGTATGAAATGTCAATATTGTATTAAAAAGCATATTTATATATAACACTCAAAAGTAACCTTGCATTAGCACGTTGTAGTTATGGTTCAGTGTTTTGAAGTGTTTGTTTTCGCTGCAGGTGAAAGAAAAGGTTCCCTACACAGCCTGTGGGCGATGCATTCGGGTGTCCATCGGAATTGGAACAGTCCTGTTTTGGGTAAGAGATTCCTGTTCAGTTTTTTTTAAGTCGCTTTTCTTTTTTTTGGTTTCTGTACCTCCAGCTTCTTTCTTTCTTTCTTTCTTTATTTATTTATTTGCCTAAAGGCAATAATAAGGTTAAAGATTTGATAAGACTTATTTTTTGCAAAACACAGAGAACCTGATTGAAGATTATTGTTATTTATCACATTATTTTTAACTCCCTGTAGTATTTAAAGGTGTGGATCACTGAAAAAAACATTTTCTGATTATAATCCATCACTCTGCATTTTTCATGCAGGCTGAACATGAAAACTGCCTCTTAAACCTATCTCCTGCATTAGCTTCTGATTGAAATGACCGACAGTAGGGACGTCCTGATCCGATCACATGATCGGAAATCGGCCCCGATCACGTGGTTTCAGACTCATCGGAACTCGGGCTTTACTTCCCGATCCAAGCCCCCATCCGGAGTTGGATACCGAGTTCAAATTACAGGAGAGCAACTTGGTTCTCCTAAAGGTTGTCAGGCTCCCCTGATGCCCTTAACTTACACACCCAGAAGGAGCACAAAAAAGATCCAGTTTCTACCTTTATTATATTATTTATATGGACTCAGAGTAGCAGGGATTCTTTTGAGCAGAGCAGCAGGCAGACCACTGGTTATTCATGAACTCCAGCTGCGTTCTGCACACAAACACGAAGTTTCTAAGTGGTGTCACCAAAAATATGCAATCAACACACAGTTATTCGTGTCTGTTCATTTTCTCTCTGGTAAGTTTTGTCTGTATTTGAGCATGACGTGTGGACGCGCTCGCGCTGCAGCGCTCATCACTGAGGCAGCCGGGCAGCATGGTGCACACTCTGCTGTTTTTGCGGTCAATAGATCAGTTTGATCTGCTAGTTAAAAAGTTACTTGTGAGGTGAAAAAGAAGGAAGCAGGCAGGAGGTTTTCTGGAGGACTGGGAGATGCAGGAAGATCAGAGACAGACGGGACAGGAAGATGGGGAAATAAAAACCAAGAAAACAAAACAAAGTTCTTAAAAAAATAAAATGTAGGTAGATTTACCCCACTACACGTTTGTACCTGTATAAAGCAGTAATTTATCAGCATGTAGTATTTATATAGTTGATACAATTCAGATCATCTTCAAAACGCTGTCCCACGCCCAGGGACATATCTAAGCATTTTGGGGGCCGAGGCAAAATAGACCCCAGCCAGGTATTTTAAGTTGAAGTGCTATCTGTTTTTATATTAGACTTTTTATATTTGCAATAAAGTCCAGAAGTGAAGAATTTGTTATTTTTACTTGATTGTTCAAGCTACCTCACAGAAGTGATCTGTTGTTAAAAATTAAAATAAAAAGGTAATAAAATAAAAAATAAGGAACATTCTGGAACTGTTTCTTCCTTTTCTTTATTTATTTTTATGTATCGAAAGTATCGGATCGGGACTCGGTATCGGCAGATTCTCAAAATCAAATGATTCGGACTCGGACTCGAGGGCAAAAAAACCTAATCGGGACATCCCTAACTGACTATGTCACACTGTCACTTAACATGCATGGACTCACCCATCTTGACTTGCGACGGAGAAGGCTGTTGTTGTTTTAGCATCCAGGAAACAGCAGAGAACGTCTGGGCTAGTAGAAGCTAACATTTAGCATTGGCTAATCCACCACATAGCAGAACTCCTCCAGGTTTGTGGTATTTGAAGAGATAAAACATCAACGTTGCTGTTACGTATCCTTGTGGTCAATTTTTCACCATCTAATGGACACAAGATAACCTTTCATCTACAGACATAAACCCACTATCTAAACCCACTAGCTATCTGTCCTCCAAATCCAGAAAGTTCTGCTCAGTGCTTGTTTGCATACAAGAAGACATAGCAAAACTGTCAAGGTCTCCTGCAAAGGTCCTGCAATCACTGCCTAAAGTCAGACTTCAGCATTCCTAATGTGGCAAGGTGGAGAAACGAGGGCCCGGGCGGGATTCGATCCCCAGACTCCCGGGTGAGAGACACGCGCGCTAACCAGTCAGCCAAAGGGACATCCCCTTGACCAAGTAGCCAGGGCGCATGATCAGTCGAGACACTGTGACAAGACGCTCACACTGTCACATCTTCCGCCCTCTTTCCACAAGCACATCCTCGTGCTCCTGCGCAGGGTGCCACAAACTTCACATCCATGGACCTACTTGACAGTACTACATGGTTCCTGCGGACAACGCCAAATGTGGCAAGGTGGAGAAACGAGGGCCCGGGCGGGATTCGATCCCCAGACTCCCGGGTGAGAGTCACACGCGCTAACCAGTCAGCCAAAGGGACATCCCCTTGGCCAAGTAGCCAGGGCGCATGATCAATCGGGACATTGTGACTGGACGCTCACACTGTCACACTAATTTGAGGAAAGTCATCTGGAATTATAAATAACTTCACAGCTTAAAAGTCTAAATAATCATATGTGTTGAATGAACAAGATTTCATTACTTTGCAGACCAAACAGTTAGAGGCAGTGTTGCGTTGCTGTTACCCAATCTGAGGCCAGATATCAGGAAATTAATCTTCAAATCCTGTCGTGAAAGCTCTCCTCGGATGTTGCAATCTGCTAGTTCCTGAAACAAGCCCATCTGAGCCACACCCTTAATTTTCACAAAATGTCCTAAAAAGTCTATACTAAAAGTGTTAAATGTGTCTTATCCTGTAGATTATGCTGATCCTGGCTTCCATTGTGGCCATCATAGTGTACCGGCTGGCCGTCTTCTTCGCCTTATCAATTAAACTCCGAAACACAGATGAACTGAAGAATTTTGAGCCGATAAAGGAGTACGTGACTCCTCAGATGGCCACATCTGTCACAGCTTCCCTCATCAGCTTTGTTGTTATCATGATCCTCAATATTCTCTATGAGCGAGTCGCCATCTGGATCACAGACTTCGGTGGGTTTGAGCTGCGCTTGTTCTTTGGTTCTCTTCTGAGTAGAACGTGGAGTCATTGACCTCTAAACTTTTCCCCTCTGACGAACAGAGCTGCCTCGGACCAGAACCGACTACGAAAACAGCTTGACCCTGAAGATGTTCTTGTTCCAGTTTGTTAACTACTACTCCTCCTGCTTCTACATTGCCTTTGTGAAAGGAAAAGCAGTCGGCCATCCCGGCGCTCCCGTTTATCTCTTGGGAAAATACCGGAACGAAGAGGTGCTGCCTGTTTCAAAGCCCTAGGATGCTTAAATGCACTTATTTGTTTACCTGTGGGTTTTGCTTCTACAGTGTGATCCAGGTGGATGTCTGATTGAACTGACCACTCAGCTCTCCATCATCATGGGTGGGAAAGCCATCTTGAACAACATTCAGGAAGTCCTGCTACCGTACGGAGTTACAAGAGCCTTTTCCTTATAGATTGTAAAACAGTGAAGAAAGAGCTTCAAAGATGTCTTACTGAAACGTTTCTCCACAGGTGGCTTAAGAATCATATGTCTCGCCTTTGCTGTGGTCGGGCTGCAGAGAAGGTGACTCCACGCTGGGAACAGGACTACAAGCTCCAGGCCATGTCAAAGCTGGGACTGTTCTATGAGTACCTTGAGATGGGTAAGATGTATTTGTATCAATAAAGACCGACCCCGTCTTTTCACTGCACGTGAAAGCATCATGAAACATTCTACGAGGCTTTTATCCACCGTTGTAATGGGTGAGTTCCTTTCCACCAGAAGCCAGGTGTAACGTTTTGGACGAGCCCCAGAAGTGAAGGGCTGCTATCATTATGTTTTGAATCTATTTTTTACGTGCTACGCTTCCAAATCACGTCAAACTCCACAGTTTAGATCGTGCCAGACAGTAAGTCAAACACAAAAGCAGTGGAAAACATCAGGAAACTTTCAAAATAAAAGGCACATGCAGGTAAACATGTAATTTTCTGTTAAAACCCCTGTAGCCGATGTAAACAGAACAAAAAAGAAACCACATACCTTTTTTGATACATGCAGATGCACATGCCTGGTTTGAATCGTACCTCACAGGATGATCATTCAGTGTATCTTGGCTTGGACAATCCTCTACTGTGCACCATCTTGCCACAGGAGTCCGCCAGGGCTCTGTACTAGGACCTCTTCTCTTTGCCATATACACCACCTCACTGGGTGAGATCATTCGATCCCATGGCTTCTCCTACCACTGCTACGCAGACGACACCCAGCTCTATCTGCCATTTCCACCGGACGACCACACTGTCTCTGCACGAATATCAAACTGTCTCTCTGGCATATCAAAATGGATGAAATCTCATCATCTCCAACTCAACCTCTCTAAAACTGATCAACATGTCATCCCAGCAAAACCATCCATACAGCACAATATCTCAATCCAAAATGACTTCCCATCTCTGGCTGCTTCAAAGGCAGTTAGAAATCTGGGTGTTGGTATTGATGAACACTTGACCTTTAAAGATCATGTTGCCTCTGTTGCCCGTTCATGCCGCTTTGCGCTGTATTACATACGAAAGATCAGACCATACCTAACACAACATGCCACCCAGCTCCTGGTGCAATCTACTGTCATCTCCCGCCTCGATTACTGCAATGCTCTTCTAACTGGTCTTCCAGTCTGTACTGTGAGACCTCTTCAAATGGTCCAGAACGCAGCGGCGAGTGTGGTCTTCAATCAGCCAAAAAGAGCACACGTCACCCCTCTGTTCATTGAGCTCCACTGGCTACCGCTAGCAGCACGCATCAAATTCAAATTACTAGCATACAAAGTCCGAGATGGTACGGCTCCCATCTACCTGAATCCTCTTGCAAAGGCTTACGTCTCGGCCCGGCCGCTCCGGTCATCACAGGATTGTCGGCTAGCAGTGCCTACACCACGCTCAGGACAATCCAGACTTTTCTCATGCATCGTTCCACAAATGTGGAATGACCTTCCAAGCACTTGCAGAACTGCGGCTTCCTTTTCTATTTTCAAGAAACTCCTGAAGACCCTGCTCTTCAGAGAGCATCTTCTTAACTAGCACCCTCCCCGCACCCGTCCCCCCTCTCTACTGTCCACTCCTTTGTTCCCTCCTCTCCATGACTTATGTCAAGTTGTTGTTATTGTTGTTGTTAGCCTCAAGGGCAACATGCCGATTATCACTTGTAAGTCGCTTTGGACAAAAGCGTCTGCTAAATACATAAACATAAACATGCAGCTGCCTTTCTCCTGGTGTTGCAGCCCTCCCGTGACATCCCGGGATCAGCTGTGTGGAACGCTTTCGCTCCCGTTCCGTGTCATAATTGCTCTCGGTTGGGAATGAGCTCACGGGTGAGACGCGGCTATTATGTTACGGGGCTGCTTTCACGGCCGGTGGAAAGATGGGGCCATGTTTGCAGCTGTAAATCTGAACCCAGCTATGAAAACAGCTAAAATCTGATTCACTAAATAACATGTTGTTTCTTGCAGTGATCCAGTTTGGCTTTGTGACCCTGTTTGTGGCCTCCTTTCCTCTGGCCCCGGCTCTGGCTCTGCTCAACAACCTGCTTGAGATTCGGGTCGATGCTTGGAAATTCGTCACTCAGTTTCGCCGTATAGTGCCAGAGAAGTGCCAGGACATCGGGGCGTGGCAGCCCATCCTCCAAGGAGTCGCCATCTTGGCTGTTGCAACAAATGTCAGCTGTTTTTTTCAATTCTGTATCAGATAATTTATTTTTAGATCTGAATGTTTCCATAAACAGTTTTCTGGCTTTTTTACTCACAGTAGAATTCTGTTGTTGTCTCAATAGGCCATGATCATTGCTTTTACGTCCGACATGATCCCACGACTGGTCTACTACTGGTCTTTTTCTGTTTACCCATATGGGGATCATAATAACCACTCCATGCAGGGATTCATCAACAATTCACTCTCTTACTTTAATATCAACGATTTCCACAACACTTCAATAGGAATTGTAAACGAAGAACCTCAGAACATCACCTTCTGCAGGTACACGTTTTGTATTTTAATGGGACCAACGCATTTTGTTGTAGTTTGGTTTTGATTTTTAAAAAAGCTCTTTATTATCATTATTAGAAAATGTGCAGAAATCCACTTTTTTATATCTTAGAGTTGATAAACATCCCAGTTCCTATATAAATAAATGCATAAACCGAAAATGATTTAAGGTATAAGCTCAGCTTGCAGGCATACACTTGCTGGATTTTTAAACACGCTGTACCTGAAATTAATTTTTCTTAAAACCTACAAAGCCGTCTGTTTCTAAAACATTTTTCTTTACAGATACCGAGACTATCGATTTCCTCCTGGACACCCCCGGCAGTACGAGCACAACATGCTCTACTGGCACGTGATTGCGGCCAAAATGGCTTTTATAATTGTCGTAGAGGTGAGAAGAAAATTTTTTCTCCCATTTTTTTTCATAAATTATTTTTCTAAAGTTTAAAATGTTTCTGTTTTCTCTTTTTTCCCCCCTGCCTTACAGCACATTGTTTACTTTACCAAGTTCATCTTGGCCTACGTCATCCCAGATGTCCCGTATGCTGTCAAAGAACAAATCAAACGGGAGAAGTACCTGACCCAAGTCATCCTCCACGAGACCAAGCTGAAGCTGATGACCAAACGCTCGGTACCACCTGCAGACGGGACTACAGCTAATGAAGAATCAATAGTGACAAATGAAGAGGAAGATGATGATTGCTGACAAAATCACACAACGGCCATCAAAGCCATCTAGGCTTTATACATTATGCCAATTATTACTATTATTAGGTCTTTGTTGCACACAAAAATCTGCTTAAACGGTCTGAAGGATGGAGAAACCACATTTTTAATCACTATTTTTTTGTTTTTGTTTTTTTATTCCCTTAGTGGGGTTTGGAATAAGTGTGCATTGACATCTGTGTGTCCTATTATTTTCTGGGAATATCGGTGGATCCTGCTACTCTTGTTTCCGTCAGACTTGTTCCATGTACAGCACCAGATGGGATGTTGGGAAACATTTGATCTTCTGTAAATACATTTTACTATAATTGTTGTAATTCAGCATTAAAATCTGTTCACGTTTAGCTGTGAGCATTTTAATCTGAAGAGTCAGTACCTCATTTACAACAATCATTAGACCTCTGACGTGTCTCTGAAAAGCGTAGATTCTGTAAGACCAAACGCTCTTCAAACTGACATATTGTATTTATTAATAAGTGCCTTTTTTCTTCCTGACTGTAACAATTAGGTCAAAATGAATTTCTATACTTTGCTGGCAGTAGCGTAAGGGTCTGACATTCCCAGACAGCTTTTACTTACATGCTGTCATTAAGTATCAGTATTGCATACAGGTTTGCACCACTGCTCTGTGCAATGCTTTTGTTATTATTAAGTGTTTTCATTTTTATTTTCACACTTAATCTGTTAAAACCCAAGGTTTTTAGTATGAGTGCACATGTAAAAATGTACATTGTTTGAGCTAACCAGCTCCGTGGCCTAGTGATGGATTGTCTACCCTGGGACTGGGAGACCGGGGTTTGATTCCCAGTCGGTTCATACCAAAGACTTTAAAAATGGGACCCAACGCCTCCCTGCTTGACACTCAGCTTTAAGGGGTTGGATTGGGGGGTTAAACCACCAAATAGTTCCCGTGGCGCAGCCACCCTCCATGGGGATGGGTCATATATGGAGATGAATTTCACCAGTGTGTGATGATGACTATGGGACTTGAACTTTAACTAGCATAATGGACTTGAATAGAAAACGTTAAATGAATCTGTCACAAGCATTCAGATTGCCATTAATCATGCTTTCAAATACATAGTGTATCCTATAACTGCAGTGTAAACGCTTTCTGTCTGTCACTGTTTTCTGCTTCAAGTCCACAGCCATCACCACTGAAGTTCATGTTAAATAAAATTTGACCATAAATGACGCACCTGATGTTTTTAAATGTTTAACAACCAGAAATGCATTGTTACTTTTCTGTTCTAAAGAATGGTACGACATTTATTAGGTGCACCAAAGGTGACATTTGAAAGTTTGATTTGATTTATCTTCTTTGTTTTTGCAATTAATATATTTTTATCACATTAAATAAAAAAAACTGTTGAAAGTATGAAATCTTTCAGTCATTCATGATTTATTCTTGCTACATTTCCCCAGAATCCTGACGTGCCAACTTTCACGTGAGACACGTGCATTTTATGGAAGAACAAAGGTAACAAAAAAGTGTTTGTTAAAATGCACGTAATGTTTACTAGAATGAGCGTCTTTATGCCAAAGACGGTAAAACAGCACCAAGTGGACCTTGTTTGGTATGTTTGTGAGCTTTTAGATGTCTGTTTCAAATGAATGAAACCACTTTTATATGGGAAACCACAAACTCTTTACACTGTTATTTAAAGTACTTTTAGAATTGGAGCATTGTGTTTTAAAATCCCAATTTATAATAGAAACATTTGTTTGACCCTCTTGCACCCATTCCACTGAAACAGCTCTTCTTAGGGTCTCAGAAGCTGTTTTTTACAGGACCATAGCGTTTGCAAAACGGGATTTGCCGCGGCTCCCTGGGGAGGATAACGGACGTTTATAAGATCAGACCGTGGCGGTAATGTGGCGCAATCATGGCAATTTTATAAAAGATTAGGTGATGGCGGCATAAAGGGGGTATGGGGGCGGTCTCTGCACTGCCGCAGACTTCCATTTATCTTGGACATAACTTGCTTTTTATTGCAATTGAAGCTGAGATGTTAAGTTTTTTCTTTTTTTTAACAAGCAGCTCCTAAAAGTGTCTGTCCCCATCAGTCCCTGTGCAGTCTCTGGTGATCTGAGCTTCAGCTCCAACAAAGAGGCTCATGGAGCGCTGCGGCGCTCCAGTTTGCCATCTCAGCTGATTTTGTTCAAAAAGCAAACCTTATTGCCCGTGTTTACTTTCATTTTCAAGAAATTTACCAGCTGGAGCTCAGCAATAACTCCCCACGTCCTCATGACATCTGCCTCTGTTGCGCCAGGGCGCATACGACAGACCATTACCAGAATATTACTACCAAGCAAGGCGGAACGAATGCCGCAAAATTCACGCAACGCCATGCTGGCATGGCACGTTTATAGACATACCATTGTGGTAATATTACGCCGATTTGCCGGTGTGTCTTCTAAAAGAGGCTAGAGTCTGCTATCCAACAGTGGTGCACTGCAGCACAGAAGGAGTCATTCTGGTGTGATCACAGCTACTCTCCTCATTCATGTAAAAGCTTATTGTACAACTGGACACAGGCAGAGAGGACGGATTCAAATCCCACCACAGAGCAAAATGGGGCACATTGTAATATTTAAATTTTTATATGATTGCATGATGAACCCCAACATGAGGTCAGTAAGCTATAGAGAATAATGAGCATTGTGACACACTGGAAGCAGGATTGCTGCTAAAAGCAAAGCAGCCACCGACACGTTCTGACCGACTTCTATTTTTGTTGCATTTTGTTTCAGAGCAAGGTCTTCCACTCCCCTCCCCTTTCTCAATTCAATTCAAGTTTATTTAAATAGCGCCAAATCACGACAAGAGTCGTCTCAAAGCACTTCACATAGTAAACATTCCAATACAGGTCAGTTCATTAAGCCAATCAGTAAAAGGCAGAGATGGCAAAAGGACAGACGTTCTTTACTTAAGTAGAAGTACAGAGCTGTGTAAAAAACTACTCTGGTAAAAGTGAAAGTACTGAGCGAATTTATTTACTTAAGTAAAAGTAAAAAATACAGGCTGTAAAAAGTACTTAAGTACGAAAAGTAAAAAGTAAAAAAATTAAACCTTATATAACTAAAAAAATAAAGCATCTGATTTGGATTGAGAAGTTTATTTCAACAACACAACAATAATTCCTGGAGATATGATGCTATTAATGTTATTGCTATCACCACATATGGGTGTCATGGTCCGTGGTGAGCTGCCAGCCTGTAACCCTGATCTCTTCTGAGTATTGTTTTCACAGGTGGGCGTGTCTGAGAGCTCCCAGCTGCAGCTGATCTCACCATCAAGGCCCAGGGGATTTAAGGAGCAGTGTGACACTTCACCACGCCGGATGATTACTCTTTTGGGTTCCTCACAATCTCTCACCAGCTCCAGAACAAGACCCGGATCTCAGCCTGCCTGACACACTGCTTCATCCCCTGGCCGCCCGCTCTCAGCCGCTCACCTACCAACGTCCATTCCTGTTCCTACACCTCTGGACAAAACAATCTCTTTACCTGTGGATCTCCTCAGCTCACCCGGACCTAGCAACCTTCCTGTGCAATTACCACTACCAAGAGGCAAATCTTCCCCTGGATTCCTGCTGCCAGTCCTGCGTCTCGTCTGTTCCCGTCTCTCACATTGCTCCTTACTTAGTAAAATAAAAACCTTTTTACTTACCTTCTTGCTCTCGTATGGTGATTCTGCATTTCGTGGGTCAAGAGACTTCCTCCCGCCATGACAATGGGAGCATTTAACTGAAATAGTTTTTTTCAGCAACTTGACTTAAAACATTGTGATCATGGAATCAAGGTCACTTCAAATCTTCAAGTATTATTTCCTTTTGAGAGGAATTGACTGAGACTAAATAAACTTTTTATTGAGCTTCATCAGAAGCTGGTTTTCAAAGTTCTTTGGATCAACACGTGCCCTTTTGGGTCTGAAAATGAGTCCTGCAGTGCTGAAAAGCCTCTCACAAGCAGCTGAGGCAGGCAGAGGTGTGTTCAGCTTCAGTGATAAATTACATAATGCTGGAAAATATTTCAAAATATCCATAGAATCTGATGGACAGGCAAGGTAGGTGACATGGTTTGGGGAATGCGTTTAACCCAAGACATGTAGAATCACACACCCACAGATCTTATGGCAAAAAAAGAATCCGTATTTTAAAATGAGAACTGAAGGTGCACTGGAAAAGCCCAGTGGAGATCGAGAACGGGAGCACAGCGTCTGAGGAGGGGAGAGCAGATACAGGTGAGTCCAGGAAGGTAAGTCTAAACTTGGTGGGTGCAGAGAACAGACTTACTGGGAGTAGGGGAGCGTAGGAATGAGGGAGGGTAGGTTGGGTGCAGGGGTGACTCCAAGTGGGGTGTCCAGGAGAGGGAGCAAGAGGAGAGCAGTAGAGCGGGCCGGCCGGGAGGAATGGAGAATGGTGAGAGCTGCGTCCGGAAATCCTATGGGGCACTGGAAAAGCCCAGTGGAGATTGAGAACGGAAGCACAGCGTCTGAGGAGGGGAGAGGAGAAAATGAGGAGTCTGAGGGGTCGCAGAAAACCAGACGTAATCCAGAGAAGTCACAGGAGTCCAAAAACGTTGGTCTGTAAATACTGTATTTACAAAAACCTCCCATCAGTGTCACTTAATACCTCCATGACTAAAATTAGTTCTATGTTATGCTAGTATTAAACTTCCATCCATCCATCCATTTTCATCCGCTTATCCGGAGTCGGGTCACGGGGGCAGTAACCTAAGTCGAGAGGCCCAGACTTCCCTCTCCCCAGCCACTTGGGCCAGCTCCTCCGGGGAAATCCCAAGGCGTTCCCTGGCCAGGTGAGAGATGTAGTCCCTCCAATGTGTCCTGGGTCTGCCTTTAGGCCTCCTCCCGGTTGGACATGCCTGGAAAACCTCACCAGAGAGGCATCCTGACCAGATGCCCGAGCCACCTCAACTGGCTCCTCTCGATGTGGAGGAGCAGCGAATCTACTCCGAGCCCCTACCAGATGACTGAGCTTCTCACCCTATCTCTAAGGGAGAGCCCAGCCACTCTGTGGAGAAAACTAATTTTGGCCGCTTGTATCCGCGATCTCGTTCTTTCAGTCACTACCCAAAGCTCATGACCATAGGTGAGGGTAGGAACGTAGATCAACCGGTAAATTGAGAGCTTTGCCTTCTGACTCAGCTCTCTCTTCACCACGACAGACCGGTACAACGCCCGCATCACTGCAGATGCAGCACCAATCCGCCAATTGATCTAACGCTCCAGTTTTCCCTCACTCGTGAACAAGACCCTGAGATACTTAAACTCCTCCACTTGGGGCAGGACCTCATCCCTGACCCGAAGAAGGCATTCTACCCTTTTCCGAATCAAGACCATGGCCTCAGATTTAGAGGAGCTGATTCTCATCCCAGCTGCTTCACACTCGGCTGTGAATTGCTCCAGCGAAAGCTGAAGATCACATTCTGATGAAGCCAACAGGACCACATCATCTGCAAAAAGCAGAGACCTGATCCTCAGGCCACCAAAACGGATGCCCTCCACACCTTGGCTGCGCCTAGAAATCCTGTCCATAAAGGTTATGAACAGAATCGATGACAAAAGGCAGCCTTGGCGGAGTCCAACTCTCACTGGGGATGAGATGCGGCCCAAGCTCTGACACCGGTCATACAGGGACCTAACAGCCCGTATCAGAGGGCCTGGTACCCCACACTCCTGGAGTACCCCCCACAGGGCCCACCGAGGGACATGGTCAAACGCCTTCTCCAAATCCACAAAACACATGTAGACTGGTTGGGCAAATTCCCACGCACCCTCCAGGATCCCCTTAAGGGTATAAAACTGGTCGAGTGTTCCACGGCCAGGACGAAAACCACATTGCTCCTCCTGAATCGGAGGTTCAACAATCCAACAGACCCTCCTCTCCAGAACCCCTGAATAGACCTTACCAGGAAAGCTCAGGAGTGTTATCCCCCTGTAGTTGGAACACAACTTTTTAAATAAGGGAACCACCAACCCGGTTTTCCAGTCCAGTGGGACTGCCCCCGATGTCCACGCGATATTGCAGAGCCGCATCAGCTAACACAGCCCCGCAACATCCAGAGCCTTAAGGAACTTCGGGCGGATCTCATCCACCCCTGGAGCCTTGCCACAGAGGAGCTTTTCAACCACCTCAGTGACCTCAGCACAAGAGATTTGAGAGCCCAGCTCAAAGTTCCCAGACTCTGCATCCTCACTGGAAGACGTGTCGGTGGGATTGAGGAGGTCTTCGAAGTATTCTGCCCACCTGAGTAGAGGTCTGCAGCACACCGTCCCCACTATAAATAGTGTTGGTAGGGCACTGCTTAAAGTTAATTTCTGGTCAATTTTGATTTAAATACTTGACTTTTGGGTATGCACCCCCAATGGTGACAAGCTGGACTACATTGACTGACATAGGCCTAAGATAAAAAAAAAAAGTACTCAAATTACACTTTCTCTGCCAGACTTACTGTGATATTTTTTCCAAACCTACGCTCTTCAGGAATGCACCTTCAGTTGAAAATGTTGATGTTCATCTAGCACTTTGATCAAATTAATGTTTCAGCAGTTTCCATAAGGATTGATTTTGTTTCTTCTAAACTATTCAGTCAAATCATAACCGTGTGTTTGTGTGTGTTGGATTAATTTTAATGTTTTCATATGGGAAATGTCACTAAGAAATTGCTTTTTTATCACTAAGCAGATGAGTTTTTAGGTATTTTGATCAGGCAGATTTTCAACGCCCTGTTGATGGCATGAAAATGCGACAAGGACCCTTGTTAAAATACGCTCACGTGTATCTTAATGTGTAGCCGTGTAAAAATCAAGTTATATGTTTTATAAGTGTCGGTGACTACTTACATTTTCAGAATGAGCTCCCAGATTACGTGCGTGGGCTGGGTGAGACGCGGCGTAGCGAAGGAAAAACCAGAGAAGGTAATAAATCTGTAAACAACGAGCCAAGCAACCTGTCAACAAACATGCTTTGTCTAAAAGAAAACTTAGCATCACGACAAAAATAAGTAAACGCGAATCAAAGGCAGCAGAGGTTTAGAGAAATGAATTATGTTATTATGTATTTATATAGGGCTGCAGGGTGGCGCATTGTTGTGTCGCAGAAGGTTGCAGGTACGAATCCCGGCTGCGGACTTCCAGCGTGTTCTCCCTTGCCAAGTTTTATCCTAGTTCTCTGGTATCTTTCTAGACCAGAAACATGCATGTCAGGGTTACGTTGAGGCTCTAATTGTCCCTAGATGGATTGTGCGTGTCTCTGTTGGACTGGTGACCTGCCCAGGTTGTCCCCCACCTCTTGCCTGGTGGCTGATGGAGAAAGGCACCAGAACCCTGCCGTTCTGCTAAGCAAAAAGGGGTTAGTGGTGAGTGAGTGAATTAATTATAATCATCCATTACATTTCCTCAGGTCGAGTTGAGCCAGGACGAGCTTAAGCGCATCATTACTGAAGCAAAAGAAGAGTTGGGGTAAGTTATGATGAAGTACCACACTGTTGCACTCTACTTTTGGAATAATAAAATATATGCCTGGAACCACACTGATGTTTTAGTTGTTTTAATTTACAGGGAACTAGCAGGTGGTGATGATGAAGAAGATGAAGGCGTGCCTCCCGAGCCTGAGCCCACCAATGAAACGGATGATCGTGCTGATTTGACTTCTAAGAATGAAAATGAAGGAGAAGAGGATGATGAGCTTGCAGAGTATGGCCTGGATAAATACGATGAAGAGGACACAGGTAAAGGGTGTTTGTGTTCTAAAGGTTTTATTTCTCGTGTATTTCTCCAGTTGGATTTGTTGAGAACGATATAGAAACTCTAAACTCTGTTCACCTGCCTCCAATTCAGTGACCTCTAACCTTGGCGACAGTCTGGCTGGGCTCACAGTGTTCAGCTCGAATGAAGAGGATCCCTACATCACCATCAAAGACACAGTGGGTAACTTATTTCAAAAGTAGATGTTAATAAATGTGAGGCGATTTTTTTTCTCTGTGCATTTGAAAATTGCAGCTAAACTTGGTGAATAAAATGAAACCGTTTCTTCTTTTTCATAGGATCAGTATGAACGAGAAGACTTTCAGATCAAACCCACTGACAACCTCATTCTGGCGGGAAAAGCAGAGAAGGACTGCTGCAATTTAGAGGTCTACAGTAAGTGTCTGTTTTAATAGTTGCAACAATGAGAAAATGACTGAATATTCAGAGATGAGTATCTTTTCATCTGTAGCTGTACTTTGATATGTGAGTTAAATACTTGAAAAATGTTTTCTTTGACTTTATGTTAAAAAGATGACCTGGCTGGTTTATTACTTTGCAGTCTACAACTCTGAAGAGGACTCTCTGTATGTGCATCATGATATTCTGCTGCCAGCCTACCCACTGTGTCTAGAGTGGTTGGACTTTGACCCCAACCCTGAAGAACGTCCATGTAGGAAGCTGAATCTCTGATAAACATTTTGTGCTCTGATCTGCCTTCTTTAAATGGACTCTTTTTGTTTTTTCAAACTAAAGTGATGTAATGCTTTCTGTGTGTTTGTACTCCAGCAAACTATGTTGCCGTGGGCAACATGACTCCTCAGATTGATGTGTGGGATCTGGATGTGGTGGACTGTTTAGAGCCTGTCTTCTCTCTGGGAAGCAAAAAGGCCTCCAAGAAGAAGAAGAGTAAGAAGGTTGGACATTTTGACATTTGAGAAATTATTTTATATTAAAAGTTCCTGTTTGCAGGTAAGTTCTTGCTGTTTAATTTCCTTAACGTATTGCTTCTTGTTGTATTTCAGGGTGCAGCAGCCAAGCCTGTGGAGGGACACACTGATGCAGTGCTGGATTTATCCTGGAACAAGCTGGTCAGGTTGGTTTTCTTGCACATGTCGATGTTAATGTGCCACCTTTGTGCATTTAGATTTTTGCAGAAGCATAATTGCACCTTGCTTTGTGTAGGAATGTGTTAGCCAGTGGATCTGCAGATGACACGGTTATCCTGTGGGATCTTTCTCAGTGCAAACCAGCTACAACTCTGCAGAGGCACACTGATAAGGTATTCAAAGTGGATGAGATACATGAGTCCTTTTATTTGTTTTTAAAAGAGCTTTAAAGAGGAGCTGCACCGAGAAACCGTTTTATACTTTGAAAATGATCGGTCACTCTGACTTTTTCATGTAGACTGAAGGTGAAAATTGCACCCCACACCTGTCTCCTGCATTAGCTTCTGAGGATTTGAATAGCCTGACAGATCTAGGTCACACTGTCACTCAGCATTCATGGACTCACCCATCTTGACTCGCGACAGGGAAGGCTGTCGTTTGTTTAGCATCCAGGAAACAGCAGAGAACCTCTTGGCTAGTAGAAGCTAACTTTTAGCATCGGCAACTCCACCACACAGCAGAACTCCTCCATGCTTGTGTTATTTGTGGAGCTTAACATTAAAGTTGCAATGCAAACAGTCAGTGGTAGTCACCTTCCTGTTAGCCAATCAGAGGCGAGATGTCCAGATATTAGGAAATAAGACTCCAGATCCTCTCGTCTGAAGCTACTTTGTCTTCTGAGTGATTTCTCAGTGCTGAAACAGACACACCAAAGCAATTTTTTTCTCCAGAGTACAACATACAAGGCATTCATTCCTATTAGAGACCACTGCACAGGTATTACAACTATAAGTGAAGTTCCTCTTTAATGTTTGTTTACATTTTCATCTTCCAGGTCCAGACGTTAACATTCCACCCTTTTGAGGCACAGACTTTGTTATCAGGATCTTACGACAAGTAAGTGGCACACACTCCAGATCTGAGTAACAGATCTTTATTATCAAAGTTTTTAAAATAACATTTTCTTTTTTTCTTCAGGACAGCTGTCCTTTACGACTGCCGCAGTCCAGACACCAGCTACCGAACATGGAGGTTTAGCGGCCAAGTGGAGCGCCTAATCTGGAACCACTTTTCACCTTGCAACTTCCTGGTAAGAGACTTTGTGGACCCCAGATGTGCATGCGTACAAGGTGTACACTTCCTATCAAGGTCTAATAAAAGAAGATAAGATCAATATTGAAGGGGACATTGAGCTTTATAACCCCGCTGACCTTTCACAAACACTTTACTGTAATGCTGAAAAGGGAAGTGAGTGATATGTTTTAAAATGATATAAACCCAATCGCCAGGCAATCAGCAAGTTTCCCCCACTTTGTTCAGATTTCAGATTCCAGATTTCAGATTTATTGGCCAAAGGAATTTAGCTTCGGTAGATGTTCGCTCTCTAAAACATACAACAACTACAATAAATGAGAATAAAAATACATAAAAAGCACATAAGAACATGTATACCCACACACATGTTCATTCTGGTTCTGGTGCTGTGAAGCTTGGAGGATTTTTACTGCATTTTTTATAGCTTTTTTCACTTTTTGAGCATTTGTTATGATGCGTAACCATGGCAACAAGCTGGTTTACAATCAGGAGCAGCTGATTAACATTGGAAAGGTTGAAATAATACCTCAACTGAAGCCACAAATCCCAGATGAGCTAAAACGCAAGAAGCGTGGGTGCAGAGCAGGAGCAAAATGGAGACAGAGAAAGAGGAAATTCAAACCATCTCTTCCATCGAGCATAATCGATCATAATGGGCAATGTGAGATCACTGGCCAACAAGATGGAGGAACTCCAAGCCCTTTCAAGGACTCAGCCAGAGTTTCGGTAGTTTCGGAACCGCTGGAGGAGATGATGCAAAGAAGGATTCTCCAGAGAATCAAGTAAATGATGGACAACCCTGAGCATTCTCTTCACAAGACTGTCCGACAACGGAAGAGTGTCTTCAGTCAGAGGCTTCTTCAGTTTGGCTGCAACACTGACCGCTACCGGAGATCCTTAATGCCAACAGCCATTGTAATATACAATAACTCTTTGATGACTTGATTATTATTATTATCATTATTCTGAGCTACTACAGCAATCAGTTTCCCTCTGGGATTAATAAAGTATTTTTGAATTGAATTGAATTTACACACACACATATATACATATATGCATACACGTACACACACATATACATATGTATACACACACACACACACACACATTCATATCCATAAGCATACTGAATAAGCATTAAAACCTATAATAATAGGATGGTAAAATAATCTACAGATTCAGGAGAGAAATGGCTGAAGGAAAGAAACTGTTCTTGTGTCTGGTAGTTTTTGTGTACAGCGATCTATAGCGTCTGCCAGATGGGAGGAGATGGAAGAGAGTAGATGCAGCATGTGTGGCATCTTGGACAATATGATGCTATTTAGGTATTTTAGAAATATCCTCTTTTTGAAGAGTTTTAATGTGTTCAGTGGTTATTGGTAAATAAAAAGGTGTCTCAGAACCAAACTGAGAGCCTCTAGTCGGCTATTTTTTTAAAGATTGGCCTCTGATGTCTTACTATTTGCAATACAGATACAATTAGTGTGTTTTCATTACTTATCGGGCCTTGTCATCTCACTCCCCTACAGTTTCTTTCACAAGCTTTTGTGGTTAACTCAGCGGTGTGTGTATGTTTTAGGCTAGCACCGAGGACGGATTTGTTTACTGCCTGGATGCACGCTCAGATAAACCGGTGTTCACTTTGAGGGCCCACGATGAAGAAGTGTCAGGTTCGTAGAAGGTTTATTTCACCAGCCAGTCAGCCTTTGCGCTCTTAAATTAGCCTAATATTTTCTTTTCTGTTGTTTTAGGTTTGGACCTCAGCAGCCAGATTAAAGGATGCCTTGTCACCTCCTCTGCTGACAAACATGTAAAGATTTGGGACATTTTAAGCAACAAACCCAACCTGGTGCACTCTCGAGATATGAAGATGGTAAACTGTCACATTTACAATGCAGAGCCCTCTGTTCCAGAAGTACTTTTGTGTTGTGCGGTTAAGTCAAAGACTGGACTTATTTCTCCACTTGTGAACAGGGGGTGCTGTTCTGTGCGTCGTGTTGCCCTGACCTTCCCTTCGTCTACGCCTTCGGGGGACAGAAAGATGGCCTCCGACTTTGGGATATAAGTGACGTTGCTGCAGGTACGAATAATTCCAGAGGGTGATGTATTCAAACTTGTATATCACTGTCATGGAGATGTTTGTGGTCAGGAAACGGTTCAAGCATTTATTTCTCTGTTGAATCATTGTTGCGACCGTTTGCTTTCAGTGACTGAGGTGTTTGGGAGTCGAGAACGCTTGGTGGCGAACACGGGATCACAAGCTTCCAGCAGTGCAGCTGCAGCAGACATGGAAATCTCCTAGTGTTGCTCGGTGTGCAGCAACAATTTAAAACACAAATAAACTGATCCACTATAGGAGCTCATCAGGCTTCCCTCCCGTGTCTCTGGGCATCAGAGAAAGGACAGAAATAGATAACAAGCGGACTGTTTAACAAGTGTAGAAAAAAAGACTTCAGCTTTTCCTGCAAACACAGTTTCTTTAATATTCATATATGTAATAGTGTATTTTCACTTGTAAGTACTACTTACAACATGTATATCTTGAACATATTCTATATTGTGATTTAAATTTATCAATTTGCCTTAATTATACTGAAATTATTTTCATTTAACAAATAACCAAGAAAGTTGTTTAATTTGTGATTTGTTACTGCTTTCTAGTTTGTTATTTGTAAAAGGAAGAAAAAAGCAATCACAATAACAAGGAAAAAGTGTCAAATATTCAATAAATAAATGCAGTTTCATCAGATTTGCGGATGCTGGTTTTTGTTTGTGTTTCAGTTTCCTACGTGAGGGTAAATTAAAGGTTTTTTAGACATGTTTTTTTTTCATTTATCTAAAACACCTAATTCAAGTTTCATTTTCGTCATCCTTGTGAACTTACCCTTTGTTGATTATCCAGCATTAAATTATAACCAGGCACATTTTTGTTTTATTTTGTCATTTGAATGTGATCATTATTCAAGATATTTGTGATAAAGTCACAAAAAGTAGTTATCTAACAGCAGCTGTGTCACTGTGATTTATTCTTAGCAGCTTTCATTATTTGAGGGATTAATTAAACCAGTGAGATCTGACAGTACAGGAGTTAAAAACAGTGTTCTTCACTTGATCAACTTGAACGTGAAGCGGAACTCAAAATCTGACCTGTGAAATAGACGGAACCATTAATGTGAAGCACTCGACAAAGTAACAGCATGGCGTTAGGTCAATTGAGTAAACTATACGGTATTTTACCGAGAATTTCGTGGGGCACTACACAGATAAACATGCAGAGTAAGTGTTCTGGCTTTATTTGATATGTTTGTTGCATAATTTAGTGAATTTACAATTTAATCTTTCATTTACCGATATTGACCGCTAAAGCTAACGACGGGCTAACCTTGACGGTACAGAACGCAAACATTCACAGTTGCATTTTTGTATGTTTCCCTGTTATTTTTTGAGGCAGTTAAAGTACGAAATAAATAACTTTGATTTAATCCGTTTTTGGGAAGCAGCTGTTTCAGGCTCTGTTTAAGCCAGGTGTCTGATTTTGGTGCATTTGCATAAGAGATGTTGATGTACAGCAGCTCTTTCAATTCAGTTCAAAAATACTTTATTAATCCCAGAGGCAAATTGATTGCTGTAGTAGCTCAGAATGATAATAATAATAATCAAGTCATCAAAGAGTTGTTGTATATTACAATGGCTGTTGGCAGGAAGGATCTCCAGTAGCGGTCAGTGTTGCAGCGAAACTGAAGAAGCCTCTGACTGAAGACACTCTTCCGTTGTCGGACAGTCTTGTGAAGAGAATGCTCAGGGTTGTCCATAATTTTCTTGATTCTCTGGAGAATCCTTCTTTGCATCATCTCCTCCAGCGGTTCCGAATCTGCCGAAACTCTGGCTGAGTCCTTGAAAGGGCTTGGAGTTCCTCCATCTTGTTGGCCAGTGATCTCACATTGCCCATTATGATCGATTATGCTCGATGGAAGAGATGGTTTGAATTTCCTCTTTCTCTGTCTCCGTTTTGCTCCCGCTCTGCATCCACGCTTCTTGCGTTTTAGCTCATTTGGGATTTGTGGCTTCAGTTGAGGTATTATTTCAGCCTTTCCAATGTTAATCAGCTGCTCCCGATTGTAAACCAGCTTGTTGCCATGGTTACGCATCATAACAAATGTTCAAAAACTGAAAAAAAGCTAAAAAATAGCAGTAAAAATCCTCCAAGCTTCACAGCACCAGAAACAGAAAAATAAAGTGTCCAAAAATATACAGTTTTTCTTGAGAAACTAGGAGAAAAAATGCCCAAGAAAAGGCAAAACTTACATATAGTCAACAGAGCTACTCCAACATGCAGCTGCCCAGAGCAGCGCAGTTCACTTTAACTAAGTTCACCAGTAGAACTGTTCTATACGTGATTAGCATGTAAGTTTTTTTTTTATCTGTTGCAGCTTGTTTGCTGTCGATTCGACAAAAATCCAGTCTCGGCCCTTTTGAAGACTCTAACAGGTTTGTAATATAATTAGTTGAATTTAAAATGAGTGAGAATTGTACTTAAAGCTTCTTATGAAAGAAACTGAAGAGATCTTGTAGGCTTTTGAGTTGTGGATTTGGTTATTTCTGTTCCTCTGTGGTCTTTAGAGCAGCTGCTTATAGAGCAAGTCACCCCCAAATCAACTTTTTTTTTTGCTGATAAACTAAATAAACGAGTGTCTAATCGTGCTGCAGACATGTGTAGTCAATAATTTGGCACTTCAGTGCATCTTAGTTAAAATTTAAATATTCTGCTTAAAACTGTCAGTGTTGTGCCGTTGTCAGGTAAAAACTCTGCACTGTATTTGAATTTAAAACTGCCACCGCTGTTGGCTAAAGGTTGGTTTATGCTTGACGCGTCCGCGAGGTCCGCACGGCTCCGCGCAGAAAAGTTGCGTCATTTTAACAATCACGCCCCTCCACCGCGCCTCCGCACGGCCCAGAATTTCCGCAACGCGCACCTCGGAAAATTTCTAACCACGCGGGCGGACGGAAGCGGAAAAACATGGCGGACCGGCAAGAACTAGTATGGCAGAGGTTCGTAAATACAGACATTTGTATGATTCAGCTCTCAAAGATCACCGTGATCAACATGTTGTAAATAATTCTTGGAGAGAAATAGCTCGCACTGTCGGAAAAGACGAGAACGCTGTTAAAAATGCTGAAATGCCGTGTTGTAAACAGTGATTTCTACTTCTACTATGGTGTAGTGTTGGATGCATGCCGTAGAGCTCCATGCTGCCCCGTTCAGTTTGGGAGAATATTGGCTCACCGCAGAGACGAGCCGCACGAACCATAAAAGCTGCGAGTTGTGAAGCGCGTTCCATCCGCGAGCCGCGTCACCGCGCGGAAAGTGAATGCGTCAAGCATAAACCAAGCTTAAGAGGTAAGCTATGATGTAAACTGGTACATTATGATGTCACAATGCTGTCGTGAACCTGTGTGTGTGCGTATTTGTTAGCGGCTCCACCCTCTCGGTTTGCTAGGCAACTGCATTTGTTGCATTTTTCAAACATGAAGTGAGAGTGGAGTTAGACTCTGGTAGGGGGTGACTTGCTCTTTAAGGTGGTTATTAATGGTTTAACCCCACACAACTAGGGATGCACTGATAAATGTTTGGGCCAATACCAATACTCTATGTTAATATTGCTGTTACGGCTGATAACAGATATTTGCCCACACACATATACACACACACACACTGACATGTATCAGAATCAGAAGGGTGTTATTGCCTTATGTGCAAGAATCACAACATTAGGAAATTGCTGCGGTACTTGGTGCAAGAAAAAAAAAGCAAAATTAGAATTAAGAAATAAACACCATGAAATGATAATAATATAGTCAAACAAGAATTAGAGAAGTGGATACTATATACAAGTCAGTGTAGGTACGGATCAGTTCAGGTGCAAACACAACACAGGGTCATGTGACTGAAACAAAGCAGCTGGAGTGGGCAGTTCTATGACAGTCATTCATGAATTCGACCACAGAAGGGAAGAAACAGTTTTTGTTGCAAGAGGTTCTGGTCCGAATGGATCGAAGCCTCCAGCCAGATGAGAGCGAGTCAAAGGGACTGTGTCCAAGGTGAGACGGGTCTGCTGTGATCCGACCTGCCCGCCTCAGTGTCCTGGACGTGTACAGGTCCTGTATGGAGGGGAGTTTGCAACCATTGACCTTCTCAGCAGGGCGTACAACACGCTTGCAGCTTTTTCTTGTTCCTGATGGTAAGCTCCAGCGTACCACACGGTGATTGAAGAGGTGATGATAGACTTGATGACTGTGGTGTAGAACTGCCTCATCAACTATACTGGCAGTTTGAATTTCTTCAGCTGCCTCAGGAAGTACATCCTCTGATGGGCCTTTTTTATGATGGAGGTGATGGTGGGCTCCCACTTGAGGTCCTGGGTGATGGTGGTGCCCAGGAAGCAACATGAGTCCACCATCATGATGGGAGTGTCAGACAGGGGAATGGGAGGGATTGGGGCTGTGTGCATCCTAAAGTCCACAACAACCTCCACTGTCTTCTGTGCATTTAGCACCAGCTTGTTGTGGCTGCACAAGGACGCCAGCGGTTCGACCTCCATTCTGTAGGCAGGCTCATCCCCATCCGAGATGAGTCTGATGACGGTGGTGGTGGTGCAAACTTGATAAGCTTGACAGACTAATGCTTCTGAAATCTGCAGATTATGTAAAGACTGAAAATGATTCCTGTCACATGCCTAAACAATTCCACATCATCACCCCCCTCACCCTCTGAAACAGATACACAAACAGAAACGAGATGGAAAAAATATTGGTTAATTTTGGCCCAGTTCTACTTACAGGACCGATACAGATATGTTAAAAAATTACTAACATTGGCCGATACCGATTGTGACATATCATGCATCCCCATGCACAACTGCAGAGTTTTCTTCAGATGTTTAGAACTGCTAAAATATGAGTAAATTATGACCTGGACACTAACTTCATAATTTCTTTTATTTAGCAAAGTGCAAATAGGAGTGACTTCTGATGGGAAGACCATTGTGTGCCACCATCCTGCTGCTGACGTTCCTTATGAGCTCACTCAGGTAAACTCATGCATTCCACTAAACTGTAGCTTATCTAATGCATCTTCTTCAGATGATGTAAGTGTTGAGAGATCAGAGTACCTGCCTTCTAAGTTTCAAATATTTAACAAATTCCAAAGGGCCATACTTTCATCATGTTAAAGGGACTTTACGGAGTTTTGAATTTTTATGCTCGCGATTGCCCCCTCAGGCCAAAAGCGTAACGGCAGCTTCAATAGTAGGCTCGTGCACGAGGCGCGCATGCTGTACGTGCACACTCTTTAACGAAAATAACAGCTGAGACAGTCAGCTCCGCGCGTGTGTGTGTGTGTGAGTGGCCCGGAGGACAGAGGACAGGAGAACGTGCAGCTAATTAATTAAATAATTTGGTTCTGTACCTTTCTCTTCAGCACAGCTGACAAAGGTTTAAGATGGGTCAGTCCTCCTGCATGCTCTTGAAAAATTGTTCCAAAATGAAAGTTGAACCCACATCTTTTTTTATCTGTGAATTCAATGCCGTTAGGCGAGTCTCAAAAAAAATGTGGGCATCTTACTGTAAAACAATATACCATTAATGTAAAAAAGAAACTCTAAATAAACTATGTTCACATCCAGAATCGAACCCGGGTCTTCTGCATGAAAGTCAGACGTCTTACTAGGTGAGCTAACGCGCCAGTGACGTCAATTGTATCTGTACCACTTAAGAACGGTTCAGAGGGCTATGCCTGAGCGTGAGCGCGCATGAAGCAGCCTGCTCGACCCGAGCAGTTCTCTTTTTCTGTGATTTTACAGAAAAATAGGCAATCACAGTAAAAATGCCAGGGCTCATTCTACAGGACCAAGGGCATTACAGGAGAATGTATGAAGAAGAAATTTGTTATTTCTATACATGTTTTGGCTGTCAAACTTCCATAATGCCCCTTTAAGGCTTAAAGTAAGGCTGTCAAACTCCAGTCCTCCATGTGCTGCCACACCTGTTTTAGGGTTTTCTCTGCTCCAGCAAACCTGATTTGATCAACTGGGATTCTGAAAAACTTGAAAATGCTGATCAGATAATTCAACCACTGATTCAGAAGTGTTGGCGTAGGAAAACAACTAAAACATGTAACCTACCCTTTGATGAATGGAGTTTTACACCCCTGGTTTTAAGTTGTTAAGTGATGGTTGTTTGTGCAAACTGGACTAGAGATATTTTAATTGTGTAAGTTGTTGTGGATGGAGTTATCGTTTCTGTAAATCTCTGCAGCCAATTGAGCGGCCAGACCCTTTGACCAACCAGGCAGAGACCCATGATCAGGTTTTGAAGGCCCACCTCAGCAAGGAGGTGCTGCAGAATAAAACAGGACCTACTATCGAGGAGCTGAGCAAGATGTTCTTCACCACAAAACATCGGTTTTATCCTTTTGGACAGTAAGTCATGAAGGACACACACTGACAGAGGGTTTCAAGCTACCTTTGATAGGAAAAGTCTAGATTTCTTTAAAAAAAAATTATTTATGGTGAATTAGAAAAAAATGAATCCTTCTGCATCTTTAAAATTTTCACTGCTGCAAAATTTTACCATGCAAAAAATGAGAGATTAAATGTTTTTTAATCGAGTCGGTGAAATGTTTTTCTTTAAATTACAATTTATCTGTATCCTCTGTTTGGGACTCGAATGCTGGCCTCTCAATTTTTAAACTCAATTCAATTCAAGTTTATTTATATAGCGCCAAATCACGACAAGAGTCGTCTCAAGGCACTTCACATAGTAAACATTCCAATACAGGTCAGGGGCCTCATTTATCAAGCTTGCTTACGCACAAAACGGGGTCGGAAAACTGCGTAAGCAACTTTCCACGCAAACTTTGGGATTTATGAAAGAAAACTTAGCGGAAAAATGTGCGCAACTTTAAAGTTCACTAAGGACCTTGCTTACGCACATGTTGGACATGGAGAGCACCTGCAGTGCTGCTGCTGAGAAGGATAAAATAGTTAAATCCTGCAGCATTATCACTTGTACTGCTTCGTTTTCACACAGAACAAGACCCCCCACACGCATACACACGCGCGCGTACACACACACACACACACACACACACACACACACACACATGCTCGCACACTCACACACACACAGCCTGAAGTGCAGAATACGGAATGCAGGATATCAGCAGGGGGACAGATTGAGACAGAATGTCATGCGTCTGTGACAGTGTGTGTCCTGTCACTGTGACCCGATTGATCATACACCCTGGCTACTTGTACAGGGTACATCTCTTTTTGGCTGACTGGTTAGCGTGCATGACTTTCACCCGGGAGTCTCCACCTCACCCACAGGTGCCTCAATTTCTGCTTCTGTGAAGTTGCACCTCCTTGATCTGCCTTGATCTACGGTCGCCATGTCATTGGCGGAGAGCTGCAACAGCTGGCTTATGTATATGCATGAGATCCACAAGGCACTTTGCATTGACTATTTATGGCAGTAAGTGGGCGTGGTGAGGGCGGGATGTGACTAAAATGCAGCTGAGAAACATTCTCGTTAGTCTCCGATTTATGAAGCGGAGATTGTGTGCAGCTGTGCGTACTCCATGTTTTATAGGTCACAAACCTGCTTGGAGTAAGTACATTTTTTGCTGGCCTTAAGTACGGTTTTAGTAAGGATTCTACGCAATGTTTGATAAATGAGACCCCAGTTCATTAAGCCAGTCAGTAAAAAGTTTCCTATAAAAGGAACCCAGCAAATTGCGTCAAGTCACTGACTGGTGTCAGTGTCTTTACAGCATTCCTCATACTAAGCAAGCATTTAGTGACAGTGGAGAGGAAAACTCCCTTTTAACAGGAAGAAACCTCCAGAGAATCCTGGCTCAGTATAACGCCGGGGACACACCGGCCGCGGAAGCGCCACGAAAATGGGACCGCCTTCATTCGGCACCCTTGTTAAGCTATTCTAAAGACCACATGGGCCGCCTCGCGCCGCGAATCGCCTCGTGCCGCGAATCGCCTCGCGCCGGCGCTCCAGCCCGCGCCGTGCAGCGATCATTCCGGCGTCGGCTCTATTTTTTTCGCGAGCCGCGGCGCGGGTGAATCGCATCAATTCTGGCAGGAAGTCAAACCTAGACATAAGAGGCAGGCCAGTAAAGTTAACAAAATAAAGCATTTCAAAATAAAATTCCGCAATAGTCAAATGTGTTCGTAATCAGACACTGCAGAAAAACCACACGAACACACACACATACACACACATCGAACTTGTGTGCGTGTGTGACCACGTGAAGGGGGTGTGGTTTTGGGTGTCTTTTTTCCAGAGCAAACAGGACAGAGAGGCAGAAAGTCTGAGGCAAGCAGTTAAGATGTATGACTTTAAATTAATTATGGAAGTTGAGAAACACAAGGAGCTGTACGACCCCCGAAAATCGGTTATTTACGTACCCATTTCGTAAGAAACTGCTAGGGTACAGCTGCAGAACTGGAGCGGGTTCCAAGAGATTCAACTGGCAGAAACAACTCATACCATAGGTTCACACACACACACACACACACACACACACACACACACACACACACACTCAAACGTAGAGGAAAAGAGCTGAGAAAATGCAGAGAGGAAATGGAGGACACCAAGTGTTCAAAAGAAAAACTACAGCTGAGTCGGGGCACGTCTGATCTGAACTGAGGAGCGGCGAGCAGCGGCCGAATTTCGTGAGCGATTTGCTTCTCGGCGCTTCGCAGCGCTTCCGCGGCCGGTGTGTCCCCGGCGTAAGCAGCCATCCACCACGACTCACTGGGGATCAAGAAGACAGAGAACACACACACACACGCGCGCGCGCACACACACACCAAGTAGTGTTTCTATGGTTACATTGTGATTTCTTAGTAAATATTCAATTTGGTGAGAGATAAACTTTATTGTATTTATCCTAGTGGATCTATAATTAAGCTGGTAAACTAGTAGTAGCACATTCAATGTCAAAGAAAGTAAAATTTTATTATCAGGAGAGGAGAATGTTTAAGTGGTTAGCAACAGTGTTCAAGCCGATGGCCCCCTCCATGAGGGCACCACATGGAGGGGGCACATTTTCTTCTAGATCAGTTTAAAAGAAAATCCAATGACTTAATTTTAGCATTATTATTAAAGTTATTTGTGACGCTGTGGCACATGATGAATAATCTTTTCCTTTTGTTTCATTATTTACAGGTATCACAGGAGACGAATCAAAAAAAATCCCCCAAAGGACAGATAGTTAAACTTTCACGTCAGTAACCTGCAAATGCATATTTTTTTGTTTTGTTTTATGAAGTGTTTAATAAACTGTTAAATACTGAGTTTGTTGTTACATTTTTTATTCCATTGGAGTGGTTACTTGGCTTCTGGTGTGAAACTAGAATACTGGTATTAACATTTTGCATTTCTAACCTTTAAAGGTTTGCACTTAAGAAATGTTTAAATTTTGTCCAAAAAGATCCCTTCAGCTCTCTTACGTACAGTGGGGCAAAAAAGTATTTAGTCAGCCACCGATTGTGCAAGTTCTCCCACTTAAAATGATGACAGAGGTCAGTAATTTACATCATAGGTACACTTCAACTGTGAGAGACAGAATGTGAAAAATAATCCATGAATTCACATGGCAGGATTTTTAAAGAATTTATTTGTAAATCAGGGTGGAAAATAAGTGTTTGGTCACTTCAAACAAGGAAAATCTCTGGCTCTCACAGACCTGTAACGTCTTCTTTAAGAAGCTTTTCTGTCCTCCACTCGTTACCTGTATTAATGGCACCTGTTTGAACTCATTATCTGTATAAAAGACACCTGTCCACAGCCTCAAACAGTCAGACTCCAAACTCCACTATGGCCAAGACCAAAGAGCTTTCGAAGGACACCAGGAAAAGAATTGTAGACCTGCACCAGACTGGGAAGAGTGAATCTACAATAGGCAAGCAGCTTGGTGTGAAAAAATCAACTGTGGGAGCAATTATCAGAAAATGGAAGACATACAAGATCACTGATAATCTCCCTCGATCTGGGGCTCCACGCAAGATCTCATCCTGTGGGGTCAAAATGATCATGAGAACGGTGAGCAAGAATCCCAGAACCACACGGGGGGACCTGGTGAATGACCTGCAGAGAGCTGGGACCACAGTAACAAAGGTCACCATCAGTAACACACTACAACGGCAGGGAATCAAATCCTGCAGTGCCAGACGTGTTCCGCTGCTGAAGCCAGTGCATGTCCAGGCCCGTCTGAAGTTTGCCAGAGAGCACATGGATGATACAGCAGAGGATTGGGAGAATGTCATGTGGTCAGATGAAACCAAAGTAGAACTTTTTGGTATAAACTCAACTCGTCGTGTTTGGAGGAAGAAGAATACTGAGTTGCATCCCAAGAACACCATACCTACTGTGAAGCATGGGGGTGGAAACATCATGCTTTGGGGCTGTTTTTCTGCTAAGGGGACAGGACGACTGATCCATGTTAAGGACAGAATGAATGGGGCCATGTATCGTGAGATTCTGAGCCAAAACCTCCTTCCATCAGTGAGAGCTTTGAAGATGAAACGTGGCTGGGTCTTCCAACACGACAATGATCCCAAACACACCGCCCGGGCAACAAAGGAGTGGCTCCGTAAGAAGCATTTGAAAGTCCTGGAGTGGCCTAGCCAGTCTCCAGACCTCAACCCCATAGAAAATCTGTGGAGGGAGTTGAAAGTCCGTGTTGCTCGGCGACAGCCCCAAAACATCACTGCTCTCGAGAAGATCTGCATGGAGGAATGGGCCAAAATACCAGCTACTGTGTGTTAGAGGTGGGAAAAATGATCGATTCTAAGATGCATCGCGATTCAGCCGTGCATGATTCCGCATCGATGCATCAACGTGACATAATGAGATTTTCTCCCTATGTCTATGTCGGGGGTCAGCAATCCACGGCTCTGGAGCTGCATGCGGCTCTTCCATCCATCTGATGTGGCTCTCTGTGCTTGTAAAATAATGAATGGATATTTAAATAAAAAGCTTTATATTTTACTGCATTAATTTTACATCTGTATGCCAATACTAAATGTAAAGATTGTCTGCGTAAACCTGAACAGCTCCAACCCGGTCTTACTGTGAGACCGGGTTGACGCGTCACGCTTGTGCGTAATCATAGGCGTATTCTGAGCTGACGAGAATGCGCGATTCTGGGATTCTCCTCAGACGGCTCCTGGATGTGTCGCCACATTGGAGACAGGAACAAGCGCTATTCAGCCAAAGTTTCATAATCTGGGAACATTTTCTAAGTGACAACTCTCGCTTCAGTCGGAGGAATCTTCCTGCATGCGCTCTGGTTCTGCGACGTGCTCCAAGCCCCTCTCCACATCTTCAGCTCGCTGTGCACCATACGTACGCGCTGACAGTGAGCTGCGCTGAGCAGTGTCCAGCTCAGACGTTCAGATGGGAATCTTTTCTTGAGTGATTTAGCTACATCTGCGATGTGCGAAACGAATAAAGTGTCAGTTCGTCTGCATGCGTCGGGGTAATTCTTTCTATTCTTTCTCCATCAAAATAAATGGTCAAATGCGGGAACTATACGGTCAACGCAAGCCCTGCTTGTAACTGTTCTGTTTTCTTGTGAAAATTGTTACAAAGAGATATAATTAAACTTGATTAACACCAGAGCCAGGCGCACTGCGCCGTTAACTCCATCGCTGTAAATGAGGTAAAAACAAAATGATCGGATCCTTTTCTGACCTTCCCCACCTACAAAGTTTAATTACAACAATCAAACGTGACAGAGCCTGGATTTGTATTCTGAACAGCCTAAACATGTTTTAAAAAGAAACGTATGACAAAAGTGGCACCTGCTCAGTAAAACCACCAACAGGGTGAAAAATATCAAAATATTGTAGGCAGAGACAGGCTACAACTTCTGGATCCATTTTCTATAAATCGTTTTATTATTATCGTCTTATGAAAGATAACTTTGACGTACACGAGCGACCGGTACTGGCTGCTGTCACCTGTTGTGTGCAGCGCTCTGCTGTCTGAGGGTAGGCCCTGCCCACAACGCCGCGGCTGCTGTGGCTCCCAGTGTTTTCTTTACTGTGGGAAACGGGTAATAATGGCTCTTTGATGGGAACAGGTTGCAGACCCCTGGTCTATGTCTATGCAGGACAATAAAGTTTTGAGGTTTTACAATTACTTCTGGGGGCAGAGATGCAATGACATGGGCACTGCATGGCTGCATGGTGGCGCAGTGGTTAGCACTGTTGCCTCGCAGCATGAAGGTCGCAGGTTCAAAACTCGCCTTTCTGCGTGGAGTTGCGTGTTCTCCCCATGCATGCGTGGGTTTTCTCCGGGTACTCCGGTTTCCCCCACAGATCACAACATGCCCTATAGGTTAAAAAATAATTGTTGTAAGTCGCTTTGGGTAAAAGCGTCTGCTAAGCACATAAACATAAACTGCATTGCCCTAGCGCCGATTTAAAACAGAAAAGGCGGACAGGGATACAGGGCGAACATTACCAGTAATCAAAGATGTACCCGTTACATTTAAATCGGATGTCTGGGCTAATTTCGTTTTTGGGATCCTTGATGTGAAAGAATCACTTAACACAGTATTTGTTTACTATTTTTAAGTTCAGTAATATTCTATCTTAAAGCTGCTCTACCGAAAACATTATTTCTTATATTATTTAAGTAATTATAGGCAGCACACTTTAAACATTATTGCTCACTATAGTGAATTGATGAATGTTCTTTTTTTCAGGGATTTCGAAATCAAAAAGAAATTGAAAACTATTCTACTGCTTTTATTAAGTAATGAAAATTTTTGTGTGAAGAATCGTGATGCATTTCAGACTCAAATCGAATCTTTAGGCAGATAATCGGAATCGGATTGAATCGTGAGTAAGGTAGAGATGCACACCACTACTGTGTGTGCAAACCTGGTATAGACCTATAGTAATCGTTTGACCTCTGTTATTGCCAACAAAGGTTATGTTACAAAGTATTGAGTTGAATTTTTGTTATTGACCAAATACTTATTTTCCACCCTGATTTACAAATAAATTCTTTAAAAATCCTGCCATGTGAATTCATGGATTATTTTCACATTCTGTCTCTCACAGTTGAAGTGTACCTATGATGAAAATTACTGACCTCTGTCATCATTTTAAGTGGGAGAACTTGCACAATCGGTGGCTGACTAAATACTTTTTTGCCCCACTGTAAGTTAAATTTAGTATCAGTAGAAATATACGTTTCTTAATTAAATAATAGTTTAAAATGTGGCTTTTCTGGATGATATTGTTTATTTTTAACCACATCTTTCCCCAATAAACACATCTTATTCTGGCTTTTAAGCAACCAGAAATTCAGAATGTGATGCAATAGTAACATTCTGAGATTGATAGATTTTTTTTTTTTTGGTTACAAACCACATTAAGATCACCTGCTCAGTGGCCTAGTGGTTTGAGTGTCTGTCCTGGAACTGGGAGATTGGGGTTCAAATGCTGATCGGGTCATGTCAAAGACTTTGAAATAATGGGACCCAGTGCGTCCTTGCTTGACACTCTGCTTTAAGGGGTTGGATTGAGGGGTTAAACCACCTAATTGTTCCTGAGCGCAGTTGTGTCTGTAGCTCACCAGCTCACTGCTCTGCCAGGGGATGGGTTAAATGCAGAGAATACATTTCAGACACACACCAGCATGTGACAACAAGTGGGACTTCAACTTTATTAAGATTAGAAACAGCATCAATCAGATGATGTGGCATTAGTGAAGCATGATAAAGGTTCTTGGTAAGTTTAGGACAGCTCTTCTGTAAATGGAGTTCAGGATTTTACATCTGATTGGTTCTAAGTTAAAATTGGAGGAGATAATTGAACTTATACATGCAATGAGAATAACTGTTACAAATGAATATTGTCCTCACTGAGTCCAGTTCTCAGCATCCTTGTGTTAGGTAGAACAGGTCAAGGCTAAAGTGTTCAAATACGACCACTGTGCATCAGAAGATCTATGTTTGGTTCTCCGAGATGTTTGGATCAATTTACCTGCAGTTCCTTTCAAAACGTGATGCTGTTTTGAAGGAAGGAAGGAAGCTCTCAATTATGGTTTGGATTTAGATTAATCCTGTTATTTACTTTGCAATTTCTTCTGATAGTTTGCATTTGTAAAAGATCGGTATTATAATCAATAATTCATTCTCAAATCATACAGATAGCAAATACATTTAAGTAATTCACAACACGATATGAAAAATTAGATACGTAGTCATGTTCACGCATGTATACGTCATCACGTCAAGCGCAGCCACCGGAAGAGTGAGTTATGTGACCCCGCCCCGGCTGCTCAGTCAATCCAACCTGAAGAGAGGGCGAGTCAACGGCTAAAAATATAACTGCTAACGCAAGATGGCCGGTTTACCTCGTAGGATTATAAAGGTATGCCTGACAGTAAGGAATGGGTGTATATCAGAATAATCCAATGTGTGGACCTATAAAGTTAGTTTAGTGATAATCTGAGGGTGAAAATTCCACCAATCGGCATTAGCATAGTTAGCTTCTGATTAGCTAATCATCGGGCTAAGTCGCCTGTTTGCAAGTGTTTTGTTTGTCACTTCCGTTTTCTCCCTCATGTTCAGTCTTTGGTTGAAGTGGAACTAGTTTGTTGTTTTTCTCGTATGTTTTGGGTCGTCGTTTTTTACTTTTATTGTTTTATTTCACATTTTTACGGGTTTTCCCCACTCGATATATGAATGAATTTTGTGCTAGGTTAGCCGCTGTAGCTTTTACACGTCTGAAACACTGCTCCTGTGACTCCGATTCGCGTAAATACGCCCCGTGAAGAATACGCTGTATTTGTTCTGTTTTCACGAATAAAGGAGAATAATTCCGAAATGTAGCTCCTGTTTGCAGGCATCGCACCCTCTTCGGGCAGGGCCTAACTGTGGGCGCGATCAGCGGCTTCCGCCACATCGAGCCTCAGGTTTAGCAGGTTTTTGCACCTTTCAAAGTGAAACTCGTGCCAGCTGCTTATTTTGGATATATTGTTTTACTTTTTAATAATAACGCAATTTACTAAACACATTTTTGTACTTTTCATTGGCGCTGTGTCGGTGCACCTGCTTCTCAAGAAATATATGTATAATTTTCCACTTTTATTTAATTTTTGTCTTTCCCTCATGTATGTCAGACAGTTTTTAATTGATGTAAAAAAATACCTGCAAAAAAATCTGTAATTTCTAAATAATTTTACATCAGATTTTTTAACGAGAAAATATCTACAAGTTTTAAAGGTAAATGCTTTTTCATCTGTCTGTCTCATCTCCTTTCAGACTATCTAAAAAGGATGTATTGGTTTTATTAGATTTTTTCCATATGAGTTCTCATTTTTGTTGTGTTATCCACCATATTTACAGTGTGCAGCTTTCATGCATTTTCCTTGCTCTAGCTACTTTTTATTTCAAGTTGCTTAACTCACGACCAACTGTATTTTGATGGGTGTCCATTGGGTCTTTTAACAGCATGGATTTAGCTGTAAAGCCAGAAATATACTGCATTGCTGTGGGCACGTTTTGGTATGAAGCCAGGTGAAACAGGAGAGCTGGCAGGAGAAATGTGATGACTAGAGGTGCTTTAACTAATGTATATGTAAAACAAACCTACATTTAACAGAACAGAACCATAAAACCTAAAAGGCCATAGACTCGTACTGAGGGTGTGTTAGAGTTTTTGTGTCTTTAAAATTTTGTTGTGTTAAAGAAATGGTTTATAAAATAACTTTTTTATTTCAACTATCAGTTTAGTGTTTTGTATATCATGCGGGAAGTTTTTCAGCCCTCAGCTGGTGTTAGTGTGCACGCGTGTGTGTTAAAGAGCAGCTGATGGAATGTTGTCCTGTCAGTGTGTGTGTGTGTGAGATTGCCATCTCATCCATTTTGTGCTTTAAAGTGTTATACCTCCTGCAGACACTTCCACCATTCATTGTAAACCATGGATTTTGATCCCTCTCAGGAGACACAGCGGTTGATGGCAGAGCCTGTTCCTGGGATCACGGCTACGCCTGATGAAGGGAATGCACGTTACTTCCATGTGGTCATCGCAGGTCCTCAAGACTCTCCTTTTGAAGGAGGGACGTTTAAACTTGAACTATTTCTTCCAGAAGAGTATCCCATGGCAGCTCCCAAAGTGCGATTCATGACCAAAATCTATCACCCCAATGTTGACAAACTTGGAAGAATATGTTTAGACATTTTGAAAGGTAAGAATAAATTTAATATGTATTGCATTTAACACTGGTTTTGTAGTTAAGGTTGAAGTACTCGTAATGAGCAGGAGCATTTAAAAAATGTGTTTATATTTTATTTTCTGCTTTAAAAGTTATCTGCGGAAATGAAAGTACTTTTCAGTGTACATTGTTTTTCCATTGTCATTTCAATTTGTATTTTAGCACGGTTTGCTTTAACAGACACTCCTTACTTAGGCTTTTTGGAATCCCAAACCATTTATATTTTGCTTGTGTGCTTTTTTTTTAAAGAACACATTAACAGTGTGACACTTACAAATGGTGGTTTTATGCCTTAAAAGCAGTGGCTTCAAGAGCAGGTTCCTGCATTAGCTTCTGACAGAAAATAGACAGAAAAACGCTCGTTTCATAAAAGCCCGACGGATCTACGTCACACACTAACTCAACATTCATGGACTCACCCATCTTGACTCGCGGCGGAGAAGGCTGTTGTTGGTTTAACGTCAAGGAAACGGCAGAGAACGTCTCTGCTATTAGAGGCTAAACACGGAAAAAGTCAGTCAGGCTTGTGTAATTGCAAAGCAAATGGAGTCGGTGGTAGAGTCGTGTTGCTGTTGGCTAATCAGAGGTGAGATGTCCAAATATCAGGAAATGAGACTCCAGATTCTGCCACCTGAAGCTACATTCTCAAACAGGCACCCCTGACCTTTTTTCACCCTGAGTGCGACCTACAGGGCATTCATTTCTTCTAGAGACCAGTGGAAATAAAACATGAATAAAGTTGACCTTTAAAAATGTAGAAAGTGCAAAGATTCTAGTTTAATACATTTTGGGACAGAGGTTGTTTATATTTAGAAAGAGCTAGGTTGGGCGATTGGACGATGTCAACCATTTGTCCTAGACATTTTTTTATGCTTATGAGTTACTCTCTCAGATGGGACATTGCAAACTTTCACGCTAAATTAGCACCTTTTTGCAACATTATTTGTATGTACATGTGGATTTATGGTTGAACTAATGACAATAACCAAATAATCGATGCATTGAGAAGCGAACATAAACGATTATTAATCGTGGAAGAAGCATGCCATAATTGATTTATAGTGGATTGCAGTTTTATTTAACCGCGGCACCAGCGTTTCATTCAAATCTGTCAGAGTGAAGGCTGAGCACTGCAGTTCCAACCTGAGACCGAACCCAAATGGAGTCAGCCAGCCGGGTTTGGTCAGATTTGGGTTGGTGAATTATGTTAATTGAGCGGGTCGGGTCGCGTTGCATGCTCGAAAAGCAAGAAAAAGAGATGCATGGTCTGCTCACACAAGCGATGATTGGAGGACGCACCTCTAAACGCACGTTGTTTCTCCTCAAAATGCTTAAGCTCAGGTTCAGTCGGGCTCAGAGTGAGTGTTGGGATGTCGGGAGATCTGGGGGGGGCTACGGTGGCTGCTGCATCTAATCATCTGTGTCTTTTATTTAGGGACATGGAGAACTTTACAGGAGAGGGTCAAAGATAAATAGAAGTTCTTGTTCCCCTTTATTATTTTGTTTCATGATTATAAACTGATATTAAATTCAACTTAAAAAACAGTGAGGAAGCTTTGGTTCGTTTTAAGATACGGGAGATTGTGTTTGCCATCTGCTCCTCCAGAGGCATCATGGACATGAGGAGATAAGTCACACAGGGGTTAGCAGAAAGCCCATCAGCCCACGGTCTCCTGCTGGTGCTGTTATCAGCAAGAATAAAATAAACCTCTCAAATATTATTGGACGTTGAGATTTTTTAAATGTTTTATTCTTTTCTGCATTAAACACAACTTGACTCATTGAAATTAGACCCTTGGGTTCAAACTAAATAAACTAAACCAAACATTTCCTTCCGTGTTATTTCTTAATCCCTTGAAGTGCAGCATAAATATTTGACTCTAAAGCTGCTCAAAGACATTAAAAGCTAATATATGGACCCACAATGGATTTATAACCTAATTAAAGACAACAATTGGACATTTCCTGTAGATTTTCAGTATTTTTAAAGATTTTGTTAGCATCTGCAGAGCGTGTTTTTCCCAGTCTGAGATGTGACTGTTGAATGAGGAAACAGATGTTTTTACTTTATTAAATCTTCCTGAATGTTTAAAATGTTTTGCACTTTCACAAGCTCCTAAGGACCGTTGTGATTGAAGAGCTTTTGGGGGGGTGGCATGATGCGTCTGACATGCTTATAAAAAAAAGCAGATGTTTGATATTTTCTATTCATCAATGAAAACAAACCCATATAAATAATCATGATGCATCGGGGTATTGAATCGTTGATCCAGTAATTGTAATCGAATCGGAGGACTGGTGAAGATTCCCACCTCTAATATGAGAACATCTTTATAAAGCTTGGATATTTAGTTAGATAATAAAGAGTTCAACTATAACCATAAACAGTAAATGCATTTCTCAAGCACGAAAATTCAAAATAATGTCCAATTTACCATTCAAAGCTTTGTATTATTGACAGAACATCCCTATCTGGGATTAAATTGTCTTTTTGTATCCACAAGGGTCCAATATAATAGTCAAATTCAGGAAACTTCAAAATCTCACATGGAACCCTCGTGGTCTGCTTCAGACATGATTGGTGGATCTCTACGTGTGTTGTATGTCAGGCCCACGAAACGCCTATAAATTTGAAATATTTTAACCATCGTTTTGTGGATTGACAAATACCACTAGGAACATTTTTATGTATTTCACAACCTTAGGAGCTGCAGATAAATCTTTATATAATAGAGGAATTTCCGCCTTAAACGGGGCTATTTTGTTATTGACATGTTTCAGATGTTTGGATTTCCATTTTTATGTTTGTGTTGGTCGTATTTGACCTCTGAACCGTTTTTATTTTCCACGTCTTCTCTCGTTCTCAAACAGACAAGTGGTCTCCCGCCCTGCAGATCCGCACAGTGTTGCTCTCTATCCAGGCGTTATTAAGTGCTCCCAACCCAGATGATCCCCTGGCAAACGATGTCGCAGAGCAGTGGAAGAAAAACGAAAGCCATGCCATTGAGACAGGTGAGCAGAGGACGGCGGCTTCTCCTCTGAAACGCTCAGCACGGAGAGCCGTGAACGGCACAGATTTCCAGTGGGAGAGATTGACAGATGGCAGCAAATATTAGCCGAGTTCCTCTGAAAATCCACCCACAGTGCAAATGATGCGAAGGTTTATGATAGATTGTCTGGCAGCAAAAATGTAATAGCTGTCCTGACTCAACAGCTTAGGCAGTGCTCTATGTAAGTGCAAATATGGAAACATCATTTGACTTAAAACACAAACATGAGAAAGCAGCCTGAAGGTGAAGTGGTGTGTGTGGAGAAGTGAACGCCACCTGAAGCTTGCCTTAGCAGTTTTACTGCTTTGAGTTAAATTTCTCTTGAATGAACCTTACTGTATCCAGTTTGGATGCACAAGAATGATCCATAAACAAGTAAACCAATGAGTTTTCATTTAAACATTAAGATTATCACCTGGCAAAAGTTACGCAAGACCAAGGCAGTGTCCAAATTCAGGGGTAGCATCCTAGTAAGGACCCATCCTACGCAGGCCGCATAGGTCAGGTTCTTCCTAAACCACTAAAACCAAAATGGACAGTCTAGCTATAATATATACTCCCGCCTATAGGTTAACCGTTATATCGGGACGATATTTGCTGTGTTTTTTGTACATCTGCCGATTTAAAGTCGGGCACATCTCGGGGCAGCCTGGTGCTGTTGCAGAAATTAATTTAATGTATTTTCACTTTCACTAATAACATCTACATACTAAATACTCTAACTTAACTTTATTTAGATGTCTGACTAGAACACTGAGAAGTGCACAAAGTTACATTTTGTACATCAACTGATGTTTTTAGTGACATTTTAGCATGAAAATAAGGTGGAAAATGGTTTTCGGCCATGAAAATCAGCATTTGTCCTGTCGCCTAGCAACTGTAACAGCGCTAAACAAAGTCAAAACTTAGCAGCAATAAAATAACTACAGGACCTGTCAAACAAGCTCGTTTACGAATATTTTTCTGACTTTCTGACAAAATTTTTCTTTAAAAAACAAATTTGCAAATGTAAAATTATTCAGTTTGAGGTTTATGTTGGGACAACATTGTCATTTCTACTGTCAACACTTTAGTTAAAAAAAAAGGAACCTAGAAATCAAACACGTTAACTCATTCGCTGCCAGCCGTTTCCGGATCGGTAAAGCCCTTCGCTGCCAGCGTTTCTCAGTTTTTTTAAGAGTCACAGAATGTTGTGCGCTAGGATGATGTCGATGCCAAAGCAAAGCGGAGACTCACCTCTTACATCAGAAAGAATCCGCGTGTTTCGAGCTTTATCCATTCTTTCATAATCCGTTGTTGAATTGTGATCGGCAGAAGCTTTTCTGGTTCGCGCCTCACTGTTTTTTACAGCAGCAGCCCAAAACGATCTCCTAACACATGGATTTTCTGCGACCTGATCACGTGACGTGTGACATATGCAGATGAAGATCGGCTTTAGAGCTGAGATGTTTGTTCTCACGGTGCGGGGGCTCGTTCCGATGCCCACACAGTAAAAAAATGCAAATGACGACTTTAGTCGTCATTGGCAGTGAACGAGTTAATGTCGGTAGCTCATAGCTGCCCCAGAACACCTATACACTTTATGCTCCAGGTGTGTGTGTGTGTGTGTGTGTGTGTGTGTGTGTGTGTGTGTGTGTGTGTGTGTGTGTGTGTGTGTGTGTGTGTGTGTGTGTGTGTGTGTGTGTGTGTGTGTGTGTGTGTGTGTGTGTGTGTGTGTGTGATCATGATCAGTAAACATCACAGCTGGTCTGTTTGTTTCCTCAGCCCGAACATGGACCAGGCTCTACGCCAGCAACACTGAAGTATAGAAGAGTCAAGAAGAGGCGTCTGAATGTGATCGACATAATGTACTCAAATTCAGTCAACGTTTGAATTTAACGGATACACACACACACACACACTATTATGAAATAAGTCCAAATCTATTTGAAAGAAATAAGAATTACTGCTGCAAGCCTTTGGGTGACTTATTTTCTTCTCTTAAAACGCGTTAAATGTGTGTTAGCCTCGTCTTTTTTCCCTCTCATTCTTTCTTTTTCTGTGATGCTATTTAAATGCAAGGACAGAGATCGACACCCTCCCCACGTCTGAGTCTTGATTCGGGCCCAGGCTGGTACGTTTGGAAAAAAATCTTCATGTATTAAAGTTTTCTTTCTTTTAACAAATGGCATTATTTGTTACTACACCTGTATGTCTTTTTGTTAATTATGACTCGTGTTTTTTTTCCATCACATCGTGTGCATCTCTCATTTTCCACCATTTATTTACAGGTTTAGGTTTTCTAGTTAGTGGAGATAAAGGCTTGGGTCTGGATGTTTCACCAAATTAATGTTGCAGAAACACAAAAAGGCACTTAACCCTAAACTTTAGAAAAGTGACGTTTTCAAAAATCAGTCTGAAAGCAAGTAAAAATGAAAACACCCTCAAGTTTTACATAAATTGTAATCAGTCAAACCAATGTTATTATCTTACAATTAGAAGATTTTAGCAATATTTTTACTGTAATATAAAAACGTCTTGAAAATATCTGTCGAACTTGATTTTAGAGAATAGACTACGCTGTAGTCTATTGATTGATTGATTGTAGTCACAATTAGAATTTCTAGGTGTGTAGAATCATTTCTGGTCAAGTGATCAACACGTCTGTTAACATCTGGACTTTGGATTAAAAGGGGAGAATAAACAGATTAATGTTGGATTACAAGTAAGCAGGTTCTATGATCAAAATCTACAGATTACATTTGTGATTGCAGCTCAGTTTTTATTTTTATTAGTCGAGCTTGTTGGACGGCTCGGAGGGTGAGCCGAGTCGTGGGCTTGTAAAGTTTCCAACCATCTCAAAAGTAGACATGCGATTTTAAATGTTGAAAATTATTTTCAAGAGCAGAAAATTAATGATTTTAATTTTATTCAGATGTTTTTTTATCCTCTTCATGCTTTTTTTTTTCTTTTTATTTTAGTTTTAAATTCAGCATAATTTCAACACCAGAACCAAGGAAACAAACTCTGTTCATTTTTGTCAGAGTTGGTGTTTTGGGTGCTCTTTTTAAAGGGAAACACGTTTTTTTCTAATGTGAGTTAGTTTGTGAGGGTCAGAATGACCTTTGACCCTTTCGTGATGCTGATGTGATGTTTATGCAAGTGGATTTAATAGCAGAGAGGAGAAATTAGGATATTCTGATGACAACATGTTCCAAATAAAAAATTTAAAGTTAAAAAATCTACCTTAGTGGGTTTTGTATTGTCTGCGGAAAATGTCAGATTTCTTTATCTGAACAAGATTAAACCCTAATTATTTGCCCTAAAAGATGCTGAATTGATGGGGTTTTTGTTATTTATTTGGAAATATTGCATCTTAGCAACTTTTTCTCCATTTATTAAATTATTAAAGAACAAAGAAGATGGCTTAAAATCTGGTGTATCCCAAAAAAACCAAATGGTGATAGAAACTAAAGGAAACAAAATAATGAAGTTAGTTAAAAAATAAGACATCCAACTGATAAATGAGCTCCTGCAAAAGGGAGTTCTGTTAATTCCAGCACCTTTGCATCAACAACTCCAAGCTGTAAATAAACTGAGTTGAGTGAATAAGAAGTCTTCAATTTTTTTATATGAACTCACGAAGCCGCGTCTGAGACACGTTGGATGAAGGGTGACCACACCGTAAATCACAGTTATAAATAAATGATAAATTGTTTAGACCATAAGGGTTAACATTTTTAAAGACAGAACCAAGACTCAAATTAGTAGTAGAAATGAGGTTATCATTTTAAGAATGCAAACATGCTATGGTTCATTTTTTATTTTTACTGCTGAAAATAGGCTTCGGTAAACACAATTATCAAAATGTTTTAAAAAGTTCCAAATCCTGTTTGGATCCACCATTCTAGAAATGCAATTGGTGGGCTGCACAAATAACTCCGAAGCCCCCCCCCCCCCCCCCCCCCCCCTCCCGGTCCTCACTTTGGACACACACCTGTTTTGGCTTGAGATGCTAATTTAAATCAGAACAGGTTTATTGTTGACCTTTTCTTTTCCTTTTTTTTTTTTGTTACATTTTAAAACGGTAAATATAATCTGTTCTGGTTGAGGGTCCTGAAATGCTGTTCATGTCCACATGAGGGAGCCATTGAGTCTAATAGAATCAAAACTACTGCACGTTCTAGGCCCCATCAGCAAATTGCTTTCAGACATGAAAAATGCCAAGATCCAAGGCAACGTAAATGTGTATCTGATGCACACAAAGAAGACAAACAGGTCAAGGCTAATCATGTCTACTATGGATGCTGGCATTAAACACTTTAAACTACTTTTTGCAACACTATTAATACTTTATGTATTTTACTTCTAAACTTACCTCGTAATGGAAGCGTAAATGTCCTCATTTTACATATAAATCAACAAGTTATTCTATTTTAAATGCTTCAAATGTGCACCAGAAGAAAATGCTGCAATCCTGTAACGTAATCACTTGTATCCTCAAGGGGGCGCTCTAAACAGACGTTTCTCAGCAGAACTATTTAATATAAAATCATGTGTTGATAGGGGAATTGCTTTGGAGACTTTTTTTTTATTCTTTGTCCAACAGGAGGCACATTTTTTGGATTAAAAAAAAGAAAGTTGGCCAATGTTTCACAGTCATATCTGTTTATATGGCAGAAGTGACTCATTCAGGCTGGTATGCCTCATTTCTTTTGAGTGAAGAGCAGGAAACGATTCACCCTGTAAAATCTGACAAAACATTAACCCGTCAGCTCTGGAAAGGCTCAGATCAGAGAGGATCACTGACTCATAACAAACCCATAAACAGGAACTCAGGTGAGCTAAAACTCCAAACATTTATATCGTGCATCTTCCTCACTGAAAATTTGATAAAGTTATGGAGCATACAGGAGATTTCATTTTTCATAAGAGTGAAATTTGCAAATAAAACCACAAGATTATACCCATAATCCTCACTAATGTCTATGCAGCAGTGGCGGCTCTAAAAAACTTTACACGGGGGCCAAAGGTGGCAATGGTGGAGCTCCTTGTTGAAGGGTGTGAACATCTATATAGTCTATAAATAGTATCATTTCTTCTTAGAAAAGAAAAACAAGTTTTAGGTATACAAGAGAAAAATAAATATAGAAGACAAAGTCACGTCTCTGCTGTGCGGGCCTTTACTGTGCATTTAGCTGTGTTAAGTTCATGACAATACAGAGCTCCAGCCGCACCGTGACCTAAGAGGACGCCGAGCCAGCATCCTAAACTTAGACCTTCTCCTCTGACATGCCGGATCATCTCTCTCTGTGACTGCTGACTGCAGGTGAAAACATCCCCGTCACAAGCTCGCCGTGATAAGCTGACAGGTGGAGATGGACTTCCTGTTATGACTGGAGCACACCAGGAGCTCTTAATGGAAACCTGACTGTTGCCGTGGTAATGATGGGCGCTTTTCTGATAGCCTGCTGGCTCTACATTTGCTCCGTGTGTTTTTTTCCTTTCATTTCCTTTCATTTACTTCTTAATCTTCTCAATTCTACCTCCATGAATCCCTTTCATCCCTCTCAACCCCTGTTCTACCTCACTCTCCTTTCTTCTGCTCTCCTCCTCCTCTCTGTCCCACTGTAGATAAAGCAGAAGGAGTGAAGTCTGAACCTCCTCACCTCAGCCCCCCCAGTTACATAACCACCCTGATTATCCCCCCATGCGTAAAAACAAAATTCAGCAAAGTTAAAAGGGAATCCCTCTGCTTGGGGGTGCAGCAGCAATTTCTCCAAATGACATCCATCTTTCAATATTTCAGGAGATTTCTGGTTATACAATCGAGCTGCAGTGGAATATTGCTACAGGCTGTGATTTTCCGATCTGCTTTTAAACATCAAACACCATCTTTCCACTCCTCTTCTCAGGCTTCTTAAACCTTTAACCCCCAGAGCCCCGAGGCCGTTTTTTATCTGCCCATGACAGCCACAACAAACCTCTCAAGGTTTTTAGGCTGCTCTCAAACACCATAAAGTCATGTTGTAATTCAGGTCCAAACACATTCGGTGCATTTTATTATTGTAAATGACTAATTAAGTTGGAATGTTTCATTTTTACATAAAATTAAGTACACATAACTTCAAAATAAAGAATATTTACCTAATATGGGTTTTTGTAAATGTCATGTTTGACGTGATGCAGCTGCTAGCGATGCAAAAATCTATTTTTATTTTATTTTAAAAACAAGTAAGCATTTCGCTGTCTTTATTGTTTATGCATGAGGCAGCGGTAGGGGGTTTCTCTTCTGGTCCCGTGAGCTTTTCCTCCTCAGTGAGAACAGGCTGTCCAGAGCCATCCCTCTTCCTCTATATATAACAGCCCTGCAGACAAGGACACTACAGCACATCTCACTGTTGTGTGTGTGTGTGTGTGTGTGTTTGCCTTTAAAACCACCAAACTCCTAAATGTCAGAGAAATGGGCTACAACAGTAAAACAACCGTTTGACCCTGTCCAGATTCAAATCTGACATTTTGCAAACTTTTTAAAAACCTAATTTCAACATAAATGATCAGAAATCAGACTTTTCTCATCTCCCTTCAAGTTTTTTTGTTAATTTACTGATGGATATCTACGTAAGATTTACTCTTGCTCACACGCATGTGCATGTGCACACAGACACACACACACACTGGCAACAGTCCGGTCCAGGAGTGTTTAATGTAAATAATTAACAGCTCCCATCCAGCTGATCCACCACCAGACTTGTCAACAAACCCACGTCTGTTTTGTTCTAGATCCCATCAGAGGGAGCAATGTGGGGGTTGACTTTGATCAATTACCTGTCCAACGATTTGCCAACAGGCACTCAAGCGCTGTCGTTAGTTTACCCAGAGAGATTAGATGAACTCAGACTAAACTGTGGTTCCTGATCTTCTGAACAAAATCCACCCTCTCTCTACAAATCTACAATCTCTGAGATTTGATGGGTTAAAGTGAGGATTGGTCAGCAGGAGTGACTGCGTGCATCATGTTGCAGACATTACATAATGAGATCATGCAGCCCAGAATCCACACAAACATCAGACAGCGATAAGAAGCAAGGGGTCAAAGATATTTTAAAAGACCAAACTCAGTGGAAGTGAACACAGAGGGTCTTACAGTAAATAAAAGAAAGACAGAAAAAAAGAAAGCAATCTTTTAAAAGACACCTCTCATGATAAAGATCACGAGGTGCTTCACAAAAACAAAAACTCTAAAATATAAAAAGATTTTTTAAATTAATTTTAAAATAACAAAAACAATTAAAATTGTGATAAAAATGTAAGAAAAGGGAGAGAGAAAATGAACAGGTAAGAGGGAAATTGGTAGAAAGGCGAAATAGGTAGAAAGAGGGTGATGAAGGTCACCCCAAAGGTCAGCCTGAACAGGTGAGTCTTCAGCTGCTTTTTAAAGGAGACCACTGAGTCCACTGATCTCAGGCTCAGGGGGAGATAGTTCCAGAGTCTGGGGGCCACAGCAGCAAATGATCTGTCACCTTTGGTCTTTAGCCTGGTGCGTTGCACAACCAGTAGGCTTTGATCACTGGACCTCAGGGACCTGCTGGGGGTGTAGGGACTGAGGACATCACATCACCTGTAATAATGACCAGAACTGTTTTTTAAGTAACAATGTGTATTTTGCCTGGCAATAGGGGGCAGCACATACCTAAATCATTGCAAGAATGCAGTAGTTTTGTGTTCGAGTAAGACCGTGCTGAGGGGTGGCCATTAGGGTAAAACACTCCTGGGAGAGCAACCTTCAGCAAAATAACGAACACATCAGCCTTCCTTTCATCACTGGCATCAGGTGAAGAGGTAAATGTGGGGTTTGATGCAAATTGAGCCAAACGCACCATGAAAGCTTCATAAGAAGTCCCAGCATTGTCCTTTAGGGTTATTAGATGTCACCATGCTTCTAAACTTAGCTTCAGGGATCACCACACCTTCTGCCAGAGGTCTAAAATGATCCGTGCTGTCACTTCTGGTCATTATGGAGTCATGGTAGTGATTTTGTCTTGACCATATAAACATCAGGCGAGCTCCTGTTTTAGGACAATTACTCTGCCAAATCCTAGATGTGCTTATTAAGGAACATAAACAACATTTGAAAAAAAAAAAAAATTTCAAAATGTTACTTGAGTTGCAGGGATTCAGCAGCACTTCCACTCCCTCCCTTTCTTCTGTATTCAGGGCACTGCTTCTTGCATAACAGCTCA